GAACAGGTAGTAATAGGTGGGCTACTTTCTTAATGATGCTCATTGGTATATTTTCTTTGCCTGCTGCTGCATCTTTGGACATTTTTATGATGGCCAGTAATTCATCTAATGTGACAGGGGATAAGAACAGCTCATTTTGCTGTCTGTTTTGCAGGTAGGCTCTAAATTCCCCAGGGATGCTCTCTGCAAGATTTTTGCCAACATTAATAAAATATTCATTGAAGTGGTTGGCAATGAGGGAGGGTTCTGTTACAACTGAATCATTTATCATAAAAGCTGAGTGGGGGGCCGAAGGCTGAGTGTTCCTATTCTGAATAGAATTTATGACATTCCAGGTTTTCTTACCGTTGCCTGATGCTGACTGGAGCTTATTTGTATAATAGCTACGTCTGGCATTTCTAACTGTTTGAGTTACTCTATTTCTGATACTTCGGTAAGCATCACCGAAAGTTATGGGTCTTTTTGCAAATTTCCTTTGGAGTTTGTGTTTTTCTTTTATCATTATCTTAATTTCGCTTGTGATATAGGGTTTGGAAATGGATACAGTTTTCACTGACTTAGTCTTGAGCGGGAAGCATTTATCAAAGCAAGCATTGAAGATGCAAGAGAATTTGCAGCTGTTCACGTTAGGGTTGTCGGAGGTATAGACAAGATCCCAGTTAGCATTCATTAGATTGTTTTCAAAAAGGAGCATGATGTTGGTGCAGTAGTCTCTGTATTGCATTGAGACTCTACTAGACCTTTCAGGTCTTGTGGCTGATTTATACTGTACATGGCAAAAACTGGGAAGTGATCTGAGATATTGTTATAAATAATTCCACTTGCAAGATTGTTAGGAGTGTTGTTAGTCCAGATATGATCTATCACAGTGGCAGAGGTGGCAGTACTCTAGTGGGTTTGGTTATAGTGTTGAAGAGCCTAGAATGACAGGTAGCAAGAAGTCTAATACTGAGGTGTCGGTTCTGATTTTAATAGATCAAGGTTGAAATCTCCTGTAATGTAGCAAAGTTTCCTCTCTGACCTTATGATAGAGATAAGCTCCGAAAATTTATCAAGAAAATTTCTTACATTAGTGTGGGGTCTTCTGTAGATTACTCCTACTAGGATATTTCGTGTTTTGTTACGAAATTCAGTGAAAACACTCTCCATGTACTCCTCCTGAACCTTTAAATCATCTCTTACAGATGTGTTATACTTGGTATCAACATATAGGGCGACATCACCACTGTGTCATGACGTGTTGATGCAGTGTCTATTATAATTAGGAATGTTATACAAATGTTCAATATTGTTAGTGAGTTTGGTCTCACAGAACCCAAATACATCAAATTTGTGGGCAATAGAAGATAAACAATGATCTAAAAAGGTATCTAGATGAAGGGGAATACTGTTGATACTATGGCTAATCAAGGAGAAGGAATGAGGTAGTAGGAGACTAGAACTAAACTCGGGAGAGTCAGGAAAGTAATAGTTACAGTTGGGGTTGGTGTAACCCAGTGAGTTTTGTAGAAAGGCATCAGGATCGATATGAGGGAGTATTGTGTTGACACTATGGGTAAAGGGGGTATAACACATACGATCTGGCACCTCTATGGGAATGACACTAGCATCATTGTGGGAACATTGATACTGGTTAAGAAACAGTGAAAACTCAGGGTCACTGAGGTGTGAAAAAGGAAGATCTATGAAAGTTATAATAGAGGGGGGTAACGTACTCACAAGTGCTACAACCAACAGAATTAGGATGACCGGTACTGTTGAGGGTGATTCCCAGATTGAGCGGGAGGTGCGCCTGTCACTTGGTTTTGAGGGTTGCTGGTTTCAACCACAGAGGGTAGACGTGTAGTACTCGAGTTGGCCAGCAGGAGGAGAAACTCCTCAGGTGATGGCAACAGTGACTGGTTCCCCCTCAGTGGGGAGGGGGTTCTCGAGGGGCTTGGTACAGCGGGTGGGTGAGTGGGCGGGTATCCACTTGCCTGATCCCTCACAACAAGGGTTTTATGAGTGAACATCACGTGTTTCCCTTGTTTCCTGACTTCTTTAAACTGGTCAATTTGCTGTAGGCGGACTTCAATCGTACCTGGGCAGAGGTCTTCCTTGACAAAGATAGTGGTGCCTTTCAGCTTACTGCATTGATAAAACACTTTGTCAAGGTCAGAGGGGGATGAGAATTTTGTTATGACGTTGCAGGGGCGTGAGGAGTTGGGTTCCCAACGCGTTGAAAACGGTCAAACTTTACTTCAGGAATTTTAAAATGGTCATTCAGCAGGAGTGAAATTTTGTGCTGGGATGACTCCCAGTTCTCGTGGGCATCTTCGGCGACTCCGGCAATCCTGAGGTTGTTTCGCTGCCCTTGTCATCCACATAATCCACCCGGTCTGCTGTTGTCGTTAGTTCCGTTTTGAGCTTGGAATTCTCCTCACTCAGCTGTTGAAATTGGGTCTTGAGTGTTCGATTCTCTTTAGCTTCAACGTTCAACTTTGCTTCTAAGTCACTTATTTCCCCTTGTGAGAATTCCAAGCTTCTTTTAATCTCACTTAGCTGGTCAGTGAGACACCAGTCAGCCTCTTCTAGCTTCCTGATGGTCTCCTTATTCATTTGTTGTATGGTGTCCTGTATGAGTGTCCGCTGGACTTCCATTATCACATCAGTCAGCTATTGTTTCGTGAAATTTGAATGTTTGATACTAGCAGCCAACTTAGACATATTGGAGCTAGTGAGGGCTGAGTAGCTGGCAGTAGGGAGATGGTCAAGTTGTGTGGTCAGCTGGGTGGCCTGGTGGGACAGTGGGGAAGGGTGGACGGTGGGGGTGGACAGGGCTCAGATTACAAGCCATGGCACTGAGGGGAGTTTGGTGGGCCTACACCTCACGTGGTAGTCACAGATTCACCAGTAAATTGACAAATATATATACTTTGGGGGATCACAGATATTGAACTGGTCACGACACTCACTAGTCACTCACCAATCAGATTTCCTAGAAATCAGACTGGGTACTCCTGGAAAGACCCTGTTTTTCGACGAAAAATACGGAGCTCCCACACACACGTCCCACCACCACACCACGCCAAGACATAAAAATCATTACAAGGGTAAATGTTTGGACAATGTCACCATAAGTTCAAGGACTTGAAAACAATGGCCAGGTAGGAGCATTGGCTACTGCATTGTTAGTCAACAAAGATAACTACTCCTGGATGTTCCAAATTTTAATTTTGCCAGATACCTGTACAGTACGGTATTAGAATTTAAAGGAATATTTTGAAAATACAGTATAATGGTTGCTGAAAGATTGAGAAATGAAGACTGCTGGATTGTCAAAGCTTCATTGAACTTAACAAGCCAGATAAAGTTGCTTCAGTATAATTATACACAGGTCAAAACTTTGTTCCCAACAACTTTATGGTGTGATACTACTCTACCTTGTGTAACTTAGCTGTGTAGGGGTGTAAAAACAGGTAATATTACAAATGAAGTGTTTTTGAAACAAATTTGTGACTAGTTTGAAATCTTAGTTATGACAATTTGTAAATGTTTCAGCTGGTCGGTGAGAATGTATGTAGAAGTAACTTGAGCTCTTTAGAGGGATAACTCATCTCTCTTTACTAACATATAACCTACCAAACATAACCCACCAAACATAACCCACCAAACATAACCCACCAAACATAACCTACCAAACATAACCCACCAAACATAACCCACCAAACATAACCCACCAAACATAACCTACCAAACATAACCCACCAAACATAACCTACCAAACATAACCTACCAAACATAACCTACCAAACCCAACCTACCAAACATAACCTACCAAACATAACCTACCAAACATAACCCACCAAACATAACCTACCAAACATAACCCCACCAAACATAACCTACTAACATACCAAACCCAACCCACCAAACACAAACCAAACCACCAAACCCATAACCCACCAAACATAACCCACCAAACATAACCTACCAAACCCAACCTACCAAACATAACCTACCAAACATAACAAAAACCCAACCACCCAAACCAAACATAACCCACCAAACCCAACCCACCAAACCAAACATAACCCACCAAACATAACCACCAAACATAACCTACCAAACATAACCTACCAAACCCAACCCACCAAACCCAACCTACCAAACATAACCGACCAAACATAACCTACCAAACCCAACCCACCAAACATAACCCACCAAACATAACCCACCAAACATAACCTACCAAACATAACCTACCAAACATAACCTACCAAACCCAACCCACCAAACATAACCTACCAAACATAACCTACCAAACCCAACCCACCAAACATAACCTACCAAACATAACCTACCAAACCCAACCCACCAAACATAACCCACCAAACATAACCCACCAAACATAACCTACCAAACATAACCTACCAAACCCAACCCACCAAACATAACCTACCAAACATAACCTACCAAACCCAACCCACCAAACATAACCTACCAAACATAACCTACCAAACCCAACCTACCTTAATATTAAGATAAGTTTCTTTTGCTGTTACCAGGGTCAGGTTAGCAACGTAATACTGTATGGCTGAGCAACTTTATATGAAGGGGGTCTGGGGATTCTGCCCCCCTGGTTAGGAAGTCAGGTTCTGTTAAGTTGGTTTGGTTAGGTTAGGTTCTGTTGGGTTTTATGTATTACCGTTTCCATTTTCTTATTTAGTATCGTGCAAATAATATCCAGAAATTTTGGTGCAATTCCATTAGTTAATTTTGGTGATAACTGTCTTCTCCACCTTCACCCAAATTATATGTAACCCAAGATCATAACCACGGATTTTTATATATAAACGTGTAATTATGGCTGAAGCAACACCTCCAAATTCCAAGTTTAGAAGCTCCAACAACTTTCCCTGAATACGAATTTGCAACCTTTCGATTTACAACAGGTACCTACTTACTGCAAGGTGAACAGGGACCAAGGGGGCTAGCAACACCTAAACCAGTACACTTACTTCCTGGGGTGAAAGTTTAGGACGCGGGAAGCTGTTATGTGGGACAGAAGTGGTACCGAGTCTCCTTGTGGTAGTGGGTGACCCAAGCCTCTCTGGCCTGGCACCGATTGTCTCACCCAGTAAAATCTTCTTATTTCCCAAACATAAAGATAATGGCTTCACATTTTGGTATAACCTGGAGAACACTTTGGCCATAACGCAGCAGCGATTAGAATGTAAGTACTGGTGGGGAGTTACGGGATCTTTATACTTGCAGCTTGGTTGGTGATGGTTAGGTTAGTCTGTTTACAAGTTACAGCAGACGAAAGTGGCCACAACAGGCTGACCAACACTACCAGTATACCTGTAAGTATAGTTCACGCAATACAATATTTAATTTAATGTAAAAAAAACAATAAAATATACTCTAGACTATATATAACTATCGTACTTCTTATGAAAAACAGTAAAATAGTTTTGTGGTTGGTAATTGTAGGTATAATCAACGTTCGCGAGCAATACATAGAAATAATTAAATTTTATAATACCTCTTTTATTTTACTTAAATGGGCGTTTATGGGTAAAACAAATCAGTTTTATATAAAATTGTGGAAATGACACTTGAATCTATGAATATAACGTGATATTAATGCCAAAACAAATATAACTCGGAACTTTACGATAATAATTATAAGAGTACATTATGTGTCTTATTATTGTATTTGTATAAAGAAATACAACATAAAGCCTGTAGTTGGGAAAGTAATTAATGTGAGAAGTGATAATACTGACAGGAAATAAGAGGTAAGAAGTGGTGATAGTTGGTGTTGTTTACGGGGAACTAAACGACTCCAATCATTTATTAATTTATTTTAACAGAAGACTACAAGAACCTAACGAAAGAGTCCCAAGACAGTTTTATATACAGTAGAATGTTTCGTCAATTTTTGCAGCTTAATGAATAATTTTTGAGAATTGTTTGTCGTGGTAATAACTTGAACATTTTTCATTTGTGAGGAAGGCAACAGGTGGGAGGTTACAACATATTTTTATGCTAGATAGATAGATGTTCATTTGCTTTAAACTAATACAAATTCACATTGTAAAAGTATGTATATATATATAGTGTAGAGGAGTAACCACAGGGGAAATACAATACTTTACATGAAGTCTTAATTTACCTCAATTTCATCACTTATAGTACAGGAGGGAATTTAAGGACCTGTAGAAAACCTGACATGTATGGTAGGGTAACATTGAGGAGTAAGTTAACCCGCACGCACACATGACACGAATCGCAACTGATCATTGGGTAGTACTACAGTATTTAACTTAATGAGGCAAATCATGTCATTAAGCTTTAAAATATTCACCCCTCAAAAAACATGGTAAAGGTGGAACAAATGGCCAATACCAGAAGGAGTACAGTAGTTCGATTTCGTTAATTTATCACACAGATATTCTTTGGATGATAGTAAGTATTAAAAACAATAAAATGCACAGAATCTCATAAAACCTGACCTAACCAACCAAAGAAACCTACCTAACCTTACTAAACTTCCTAGCTGGTGGGCGGCATATTAAGCAGAAAGAACTTACTTTGATATACGGTATATATTTGGTACCAATGAAAGCAAATTTATTGAAGCAACATAGTGTAATTTTACGTTTTTTTGTTGCAGTGAGAATGTGGTTCTGTTACTAACACAAACCAAGAGAGAATGATAACATGCGCCGAAATGGCAGATTTTTCTACGCAATATTTACAGTAACTATTTAATTTTTTTGCATATGTTCAGATTTTCACTGGGTTTTACCCCGCAATTTCCTGCATCCTTCATGCCCTGCCCACTACAGAGAAGCTTTGATTGTAGATAGAGAAAAACGAAAAAAATGCATATAATTTTTATTATTTACCAAGTTACTGTCATCCAAGGAACAACTCTGAAAAAAATGAATGAAATCTTAGCAAATCTGTCTGGTGTTAGCTGTCTGCTCCACTTTTACCCAAAAGATTTCAAGATAATTGTCAAATTTTCATACATCATAAATGAATGCACGATCTTGCGAGGGAATCTTCCAGAAAGTACCTAAATGTGGGTGGAGTTCCACTGTTCAACAGTTTCCTCCTGTCAGCCTTGCTGGTAGGTCACATTTGTCTTTTATTTCGTCTTCCACCTTATCCACGGTTAGTCTTATCAAAATTCCAAAGCCACTGTTGGAAAGCTCATAAAATTCCACTTCTACACAGTAACTAGGGTGGATTTTTGAGAAAAGAGTCGAGATATGATGTTGGGAACGCCAATATTTTTTCTTCTTCTTTATTTCTAGTGAAAAAAATAGTCCAATTTTCGTCTTTTTTATTAATTTTCTATTTATGTTAAAGTCAAAACAAAAATGAAACCATTGATGTATAAATCATGCCAAAAAAATTTTACCGCTATGCAAAGTCGAAATTGAAAACGCGAGTAGGAGTATCAGACCTGAGGCTTGAAGATGGTAGTTACGCAGATTCTGACCAGGATAAAGCTGAGGCATTGAACAGCTTCTTTTCCTCAGTGTTCACAAGAGAGGATGCAACTAACCTTCCTGCGTTTGAGGACAGACGGTTCGACACAGCACTGACCCACATTGTGTTCACAGAAGAGGGTATTAGAAATAAACTGTCCAGGCTAAAGGTCCATAAGAGTCCTGGACCTGACATGGTGCATCCTAGAGTGCTAAGAGAGCTGTGCAACGAGCTTGCAGAGCCCCTGAAGATTCTGTTTTGTAAATGCCTGGATGAACAAATGGTCCCCAGTGAATGGAAAGTGGCTTATGTGAGTCCTATCTTCAAGAAGGGCGATAGTCACTCCACGAACAACTATAGACCGGTGAGCCTGACCAGCATAATATGTAAAGTACTTGAGAGTATTATCAGAGATGCAGCGATGGAACATCTACTACGAAACAACCTTGTAAAAGATTGCCAACACGGTTTTATGCCGGGGCGCTCTTGCTTGACACAATTGCTCAAGGTATTGGATATTTGGACCCATATTCTAGAACGGGGTGGTAATATCGACAATATTTACCTAGATTTTGCCAAGGCTTTCGACAGTGTACCCCACGAAAGGCTGAAAATCAAACTGGAAGGGTACGGAATTCGGGGAAATGTCCTAGCGTGGATAGAAGACTTTCTACATGACCGCAAGCAATGTGTGGTGATTAATGGCACGAAATCGTCATCTGTACCTGTAACAAGTGGGGTACCGCAGGGTAGTGTATTGGGCCCGCTGTTGTTTGTTTGTTTCATAAATGATATGCCTGACGTTGTACACTCCTCCATACAAATGTTTGCCGATGACGCCAAGTTATTTCGGGAAATTAAGAACCAAGCGGACTGTGAAGAGCTGCAGAAGGACCTCTGTGGGCTCCAGGAATGGTCGAAGGAATGGCTGCTGAGATTCAATGTCACGAAGTGTAAGAGGATGCACCTGGGGCGTACCAACGGTAAGGAGGCGTACCATATGTCCCAACGGGATGAAGAAAATGTACTAGTTGAGACTGTGTGTGAGAAGGACCTAGGTGTGTATGTTGACAATGAGCTGAAGTTCTCGGGCCATTGTGAGAAGAAGGTAAATCAGGCAGAGATAAACTTCATTGGGTCTTATAAGAAGAGTTCTGTTGCCAGATATACCCTAAGCACGGCACTACTCGTCCACCTCGCTGACAAGGGGTCACAGCTCAAGATTGAAGAAGCCGCAAGTCCAGAAAACCGTGAGGGCAAACTTTTTCGGAGTGAGGGTTGGCTTCGGCACCGAGTGTGAGCTCTTTGAAGACTTGACCAACACTGGAGGTTCAGGTACATTGCCGGTGCATGCCCAGGACGTGCGTGCGTGACCGATCGCCCGGGCGGCTAGCGAGCCGACCTTTTGGTGAAAAAAAGAGGCGTGACCGATCCCAAGCGGCTAACAAGCCGATCAGTGGCGAAGAGGATAAAAGTAAAAAAAAAAAAAAAAGTAAAAGAAACAACAGGACCAGACATCACGTGAGTGGCCACATAAGACTTGTTGTGGTCACAGAAACTTAAAAAATTAATGTGTGTGAGAATTGGTTAAAAGTCTTGATGATGGGCTATTAAGAAGGGGCAATGTTCTGGTAAAGAAAATATTGTATAGAAGAGAAGCTCTTTCTTACCAATAGAATAGTACAGTATTCAAAAACTGTGGAGGAATTGCAACTTCTAACTTATTTATCATTTCACCACTTGTCATCTTGACGACAGTGGTGCGCCGTTATCACAAACTAGGAAATTTCTCTTCAGAACAATAAAGCTTGATACTGTACTGTACTATACTGCTTTATTAATGTTATTATGATTAATAATAGCTATGTTTAGAAGTATTGTTTCCGACAAAAAATTGCTTAAAATATATATCTTTACGTTTAGGGATTTTTTTTCGTGGGAATGTATCTCCCTCCATATAATGATAGTCAACGAGAAAAATGGCTTCAATTTACAAAAAATCTATTTAAAAAAATATTCTTGAGGAACATATCCCTTTCATAAATCAAAGCACTCCTGTACCGTACACAGACATTTGGCATTAGCAGCAGACATACTGACGATGGAGTTACCATGTACAATAATTATCCGTGATGGTGAGGATAAATAAGAACAATTACACCACAATAATTGTCATTCATATTTTTCAGAGCACAATGCAAGCCGTTCCTGAGGATGAGGGTGGTAGTCCCCAGGTTTCAATGATGTCAGAACTACGTTTCCTTCCACCTTGGGCAAAGTCACAACTGGCACACATTCTGGAAGTTACACATGGGTGGCGGGAGGTGATGGGTCGTGTACCCAGTGCTCCCTGGACACCAGGAGATCCAATCCCTGAGGGTCTTCATTATCCTAGGAAGTATTCTTCAGATGATATCCAGTAAGCTATCTCTATATACAATACAGTGGTCCCAGGTTAACTAACGGTTCGATTAACGAAATTTCGGTTAATGAATTACCTCCCATAAGGATCTTCAATTTGGTTAACGAACAAAACTTCGATTAACGAAATCCTTACGACAAACACGTTTTGTTGTGAGCGTCAGCTGATGGGCTAGTCTGCCAATTCAGTAATCTGTTTTATGTTTACGTTCGTTTCTAGTGGAGTAAATATCAAGAAAGTTGTGCTCTTTAATATTTTTGCATTTTTTATATTAAAATTATTAGGCATTTTAAAATATAGTTCACATATTGATAATATATGCAGTACAGGGAACTAGTTTTTTGTGCACCCATCAGCCCCTTGACTCATCCACCAGGCATCAGTTTGGCTTTGTTTACAGTGGAGTGAACATCGATTTTCTTGGTGTCTTGAATATTTTTGCATTTTTACATTAAAATTATTGGTCATTCTGAAATTTAGTTAACATATTGATAATATGTAGTGCAGTGCAGTGTTGATTTAAATAAAATAATCTTGAATTGCATCAAGTGAACTTAAAATTTTATTGGTGAAATTACTGCATCAAGCATGGGTCCCCTGAAAGGTGATTTCTCCTCCATTCCCACTTCCTTCTCTTCTCCCTTCTCCTCCACCCCCACTTCCAATTCCCATCATCATCAACCAGGAACCTTCTACATACACACCTCAAAGTAAGTGTACTTTACTGCATTTTTTTTTTTTTTTACTTTGTATGTACTTTTCTGTGAGCTGGAACCAATTACCCAATATTCCATTGAAACAATGGATTCGGTTAAAGAACGACTCTGTGGAACGAATTGTGTTCGTTAACCGAGGGGCCACTGTACTGTGTAGTAATTTGAAATAGTAGTGGAAGCACTGTCCATAGTTTCCAACCTTTGTGTTGAGGGATGATAATTAGAATTTCTTTTTAATGGAAACACATTCTTGTATGTTTTAAAATTGATAAAATCCTGAAAAGATTCAGTACAGCTACTCCTCGACTTACGACCTACTCAACTTATGACCACCCGGACATACGACCACCTCAGTCGTACCAAAATTTTGTCAAATTACATATTTTTGATTCCCGACGTTAGTGATTGCACTGTGTACTGACAAAATTTTCATTTGCAATTCACTTTAAAATGGCTGGCAAGCTTAAAAGTGAGAGTTTTGTGGTGCTGAGAAGAAAAAGAGACACCCATTTTAGATTTTCTATGTATTATTTAAGCATTTTTGACTTACGACTAATTCGACTTGTGACCTGGATTTGGGTCCCAAATCCCGTCGTAAGTCGAGGAGTGGCTGTACTTTACCTGTAGGACCTATTTTAAGTTCACTTCTCAAATCTTTCTTAGATGCTGTAGCTAGTCCACGTTGACTTAAGACTTGACGTGCAAATTGATCAATGCTTCCCACCATGGCTTTACAGATGGGCATTCATGTCTGACAAATATATTATCATTCTTTTCAACTGTTTTCGAATCTGTGGATGACAGGCATGATTATGATGTGGTTTACCTCAACTTTAGCAAAGCCTTCGATAGCAAGGGCAGATCCATGGGGGTCCTGGAGTCTGGACCCTCCCTTTTCACCAGAAAATTCCATTACTTTTTCTTTAATACAGTATTGTATTCAGGCATTTTTGTATAGTAGAAGGTAATTACTATTGACCTCAGAATATCTCTTAATATCAAGTGCACATGGTTTCAAAATGGCCTCAAAATGACCATGATATTGAGTGGGCTTACTTTGCTCGCCATGTTCCCCCACCCAAAACTTCTTGGATCCCCCTTTCATATTCCTGGATCTGCCCCTGGATAGGGTCTCCCATGAAAGACTAATACTGTATACATAAATTGGAACCACATGGAATTGGAGTTGATGTTCTAAACTGGATTAAGGCATGGTTACAGGACAGGAAACAGTCAGCATGAATGGTACTAGTGGAGTACTCTAAGGCTCAGTACTTGGACCCTTATTATATATTATATACATAAATGGCCTAGATATAGGCATTGACAGCAACATAAGTAAATTTGCTGAGGACACTAAAATAGGATGTGTAATTAAATCTAATGAGGACACCCTCTGCAAAACTACAGGAAGGTCTAAAAAAAATTTGCGTGCTCTGAAAATTGGCAGATGAAATTTAATGTGGACAACTGTAAAGTACTTAGTCTGGGAAATATAAACAGAAAACCAGATATCAGATGAACAATGTTGATATAGAGAAATCCGACTGTGAGAAAGCTTTAGGGGTAATGATAAGTAGGAATCTTAAACCAAACAACAATGCATATTTGCTCAAAACAAAGCTAACAAAGTACAGTCCTTGAGTTCATACAAAGGAGTGTTAGTTACAAAACTATCGAGGTTATCCTAAAACTAAATCTTACACTTGTGAAACCGCACTTGGATTATGCAGTTCAGTTTTGGTCACCGTACTATAGAATGGATATTAAATCTGGAGAAAGCACTCAGAGGGGGATAACAAAACTAATCCCGGGCACTCGGAACTTTGAGTATAGAGACAGATTAAAGCATATGAATTTGTATTCCGTCAAGAGATATGGAGTGAGGGGCGATATGATTGAGGTGTATAAGTGGAAGTTATGGTCAAACAAAGGTGTTATAACAAAGGTATTTAAATTATCCAACCAGGAGAAAACTCATAGCAATGGTTCTAAATTAGACAAACATCATCATTACCTTGAATACAAGTACACTGGATAGCTTCAAACATAGGTTGGATGGATATACAGTATGAGCGATAGGGGTTTGTTGAAAACGGGACTGTCCAGTATGGGCCAATAGACCCGCTGCAGTTTCCTCCATTCTTAAGCTCAACAAAAATCTCTTTACTGTAATTTTTATTTTACTAACAATTTAATGAACTCTTAATTTTATTACTTTGCTATTTTTATTTTTATTGTTCTGTAAGTGCCAAGTACAGTTTAATGATACATAAAAGAGCTCTTTGTGCTGAGTACAATTAATTCCTTCTTGATAAAACAGTGAAAAAGCATTTTTACTAACATCACCGAAGTTTGAAGTACAGTACAGTATATAGGCATGGGACTGATTTTTTGAAGATGATATTGTACATAGACGAAATTTTTCAAAAGACTGAAATTAAGATATCTAGTGTACTGTATTATAATTTACTCTTGAAAAATCCATAACACCAAAATTACAATGGATGTGAGTGTCTGATGTGCCAGTACAGTACCACCACACATTTGTCACAGTTTGATATAAGATTAAATAAAAAAAAAAAAAATACCCACCAAATGCTTGCACACTGAAAAACTTATGCCTTATATATTTAAAGACATTCTAGACACCTTACAGACATTTGACTACCGTATGATGTTCACAATGGAAGATTTGAACAAATTATATGAATACTGTACTATTTTCACATGTTGACATTTATGTATGGCTGTCACCTTCCCATCAGATTTAAATGTAACAGAGAATTAAAAACTTTCATCACACATTTTTCTTTATACACTCCTCATTATTCGAGGCTATTAGGGACCAGGGTTGCGTGTATACTGTAGTAGTACCAGTAAATGTGAGGAATAAATAAAAATTATGCAAATAAATAAAATAAAAGAAAAAATACCACATTGCCAGTTGTCAATAGTTTCACTACACATGGGAGACTGGAGTGACTGAGATCCCTAACACTGCTTCCTCCTCCTCCCACGTATGTGTAAGAAATGTTTATTCCCTTTATGTTTTTGACGTTATGATAATCATTTCTTTTATTTTTATTTTTTGCACATTCTATATGAATGATGTGTACCTATGCATGTAACAGAATAAAAAAAATTAAGAAAATTCTGTATGTCTTCTCCTGTCCTGTGATAAGTCCCACGCACATAAGAAATGTTTATTCCCTCTGTTTTTTACCTCATGATAATTTATATTTTTTGCATACGGTAGTATTCTGTATGAAAGATTATGTGTGCATGTAACACGGTTTTTTTTTTTTTTAGAACACTACATAATTATTTCTACCCAAAATTACTTATAGTGACAGCTGGGGATCACAACTTACTACTGTACATGTACATAAAATGTAAGATAAATGAATATAAAACTTTATTTTGTATATATTTATTGCTTGTATGTCTTTATTTTGTGTAAATTTATTGATTTTATATGTATTTATAAATTATTTGAGTTATTTAGACATTTCTTAACCATTATAGCAACAGGATATAAAATTTTTTGGGGTTTTTTCAGGATCTCAGGAATGGAACTTGTATTTACCCATAAGTTATTTGTACGATATATGATCGATCACTTATTGATGGCTTTTTGAGGTCCCTAACCCCACCATATGATGGCCATTGCCTATTTTACTGTAGGGTATTGTAATTATTTTTGAGAGTAAGGGGTATGCTCTGCGAATATCGAATAGAGGTGTAAAATATCAATTGTGGGGTTACGAGTTGTGAGATATTCCTATATTTTTGTATACCGGTATACAGGGTGATTCAGCAAAGAGTACATTAAATTGGAGGATGGAATCCTTGGATAATTCTAAATCACAATGTCTCTATGGTAAAATGTCAGATTCTGCATAGTTTCCATGTTACAATACATTTAAGATGTTGTATTAATGAGAGTGAATTTGAAGTGAAACCCCCTTAGGTTTTTGTAATAATTTATTCACAGATCTCTACAGTGTGACCTCTCTTTGTTACAACCTAAAGGAAATGTTCAAAGTTGCCCCCTTCTGCCTCAATGCAGGCCTGTACACGTCGTACCATTGATTGTCTGATGCGTTCCAGAATACCTGGACTAGTATGTTTAATTTGCTCGCACCTGTCACGAACATGTGGGCATATGTAGAATCTGACATTTTACCATAGAGACATTGTGCTTCAGAATTATCCAAGGATTTCATCCTCCAATTTAATGTACTCTTTGCTGAATCACCCTGTATACAGTAAAGTACAGTACTGTAACCTGTGAACCAAAAATTCTGGACTAAGATGCTTTGGTAAATGGATAATTACTTAAAGTAGATACTTTCATGAATATATGTCCAAGGAAAACATGTAATAAACCATAGTACTTGTGTCAGTTTGATTTTGTTATTAGTTTCTACAAATACTCCTGCACTAACTAACTTTAATATTCTCTAACACTTAGTGTTATAAGCTTTCAATATGTGTATTGCCATATAACTTACTCCTTTAACTCATATGAAGACAAGTAGACTTGTCTCTCACACCGCCACTCATACAGTTACTAAGCCAGTTGCCTAGTTGTCCAATTTTCCTCATGTTCTTGCATGTAATATAAGGAAATTTTAACAAAAGAGAGTACTACACTATTCAATATTCTTAAATTTCATATTTAGAATGCTCAATTTTTTGTAAAATTTATTATTTTGTAAAGTAGATTTTCGGTGTATAGATACAGTACATTACTGTATCTGTTTCTTTTTAAAATACCAGCTTAATATCAGAGGAGTGTGGGAGAGACCGTCGAGAGGGTTTTGAAGTTTTACTGGAGGAATGGGGTACTAGTGGGCGGTGTCGACCAACTGTACAAGACCTGGTGTCTCTTCTACGGCTAACTAAGCTCTACCGTGCCATGGACTACCTCACTATGGATGTACTTCATGGTAACATAGATATTATTTTACGGTGTTTCATTGAACTGTTCATAAGACAAGTTATTTGGGGATTATGTTTTAGGGGGTTTTGCTAAAATAGAACAAGGGAAAATTCTTAATAAATGAACAAGATACAACTGGATCTTAATCAGTGTGGTGTTGACACTGATGTTTGGATGTGTTACAGAGGGATGGATGTTGCACATACGGTAGTTTGAACTACACAAAGTAGTTTACACTTGTTCTCTCTGGATTTTAATTTTTCAACTTTCGAAACAACAGCAGAATAAATCATTGCATTTTAAATTATGTACGGTATGTACCCTAATCCATTAGTGACATTTTAGTGAGATGATATATAAAGGAGCAACTTAAATAGAAGATTTATTGTGTCTATTGACTTCATAAATTACAGTTATATACTAATTTCTCCTGTACATAATTATGGCTCCTCTTTTTTACAGGGGAACCTCTACCAAGGCTAGGAGGAGACAATGATCCTGTTGAAGATTTAGATAAGGTTCTTGAAGATGGACTCAACAGTCAACAAAACTTCATGTATATTCATGAAGCAGGTGCATGTGGTGAAGTAAAAGAAAACCCAAGCACTTGTGATATTAATAAAGATAGTCATAAGAACTTGATGTCCACCACAACACATATTATAGATGACAGAACAAGAGTGATGGATCCCTCTGGAAACACGACCCTTGAACATTCTCAAGCAGGAGAATCTCTTCATCTTGATGCTGAAGTATTGCAGGATCTACAAAGTTCAGGTTTTACACATTTCAGTTATTCATTACTGAAGGAAATCACCAATAACTTCTGTGATGTGCCTTTGGACTTAGGAGGATATAAACTGGGTGAAGGAGCATTCGGCATGGTGTATTTGGCCAAGATATTTCATGAAGACCATGAGAAAAAAGTTGCAGTGAAGAGACTTAACTCTGGAGAAATTAAGGTTGAAGAGCAATTTAAAACAGAAATTGAAGTTCTCTCAAGGCAGGTATAGTAACAGTCACAAAGAAATGTTGGTGCATAAGATTACCCTAATTGTAATGGTAAGGTGAAGAGTTTTGTACCAAGAACTGTTTTGAGTAATTTATTTGCTCTTCTCATTTGTGTTTCTTTGAATCTGGTATCAAAATTATGTCCTCTTAAGAAAAAACTTTGTTCATTATACAGTACGTAAAAAATCTTGAATGAGTTACCGGGTGATACCAATAATGTACAGTATTATACTTCAAGGAGAGTGAGTTTTGAGATGGGTGTGTGCTTATGAATGGATGAAGTAAAATTATACAAGAAGATATTTAAAGATGATAAGCAAACTTTTGTGTTGGAAAGTTTGTAATATAAGGCCATTCTATTAATGAGAGTAAATGAAGAGAAGCTGGACAATGAGGCAACTGGCTCAGTGACTGTGTGTATGGTGGTGTGAGTGATGAGTTTAACTTGTCTTGAGTGATGAGTTTAACTTGTCTTCATGAGTTTGAGGAGTAAGAAGTATGCTGATTGTAGGAAAATTTTAGGAACATGATTACACATTGAAAACTTATTTGTAGACTTAATAACACTGAGAGTTTTGGAGAAGAATGAAGTAAGTTAGTGTACAAGTATTTGCAGAAACTCTAATACTGTATACCTGTACCAAACTGACACATATTCATGATAATGTCCACTTTATGTAATTATCCATATCAGTTGACATACTTTACCGTACAGTATATTATTATAAATCAAAATGCATATGTAGTAAAGATCAGTACTGGGGGCATACTGTTAACACCAAAGTAAGTAAAGAAGTCAGAGTGAGGGAAAGGAATTACTGATATGAGAGATTAATATGGATGGAGATTCTTAGTCAACAGATAGAATACTGAAGCAGCTTATTCTTACAATGTGATTAGCTGTTTTCAGCTACTGTGAGATGGATGCCAGTGTGAGCTGACAGGAATGATTCAAGGAGTGTACTGTATTGTCCTGATAATATGTGTAAGCATGGTTTTGTTTGTGGGTTTTGGAAATTAAACTTTATATAATAGCTTTTTACAGAGTTAGATTGTAACAAGACAGGAGACACATATGAAGATAAATTTAGGTACAATTACATGTAGATTTAAGATATTTCTTTTTTGACATTTTAAGAGACAGCAAAAGGGTAATAATGTTATTTAGAGAAGTATATTTTGAGGAAATAAGTCTTTGGCATTTTAAGAAACACAAAACATTACAGTGCAAATGTTACCCTTTACATGTTCTGTATTAAAAAAAAATTGTGTAAGAATCATTTTACACACTGAAAATTTCCTTGTTTATCTATGAAAGTTTTTAAATGAATGATTGATAATTTTTTTTTAATAGTTGAGGATATTAATATTTGTACTATCATCAGGTGTATTCATGAAAACTTGCTACCACTTGAAGGCTTTTCTTGTGATGGACCTGATTGGTGCCTTGTGTATGCTTATATGGCCAATGGAAGTCTTCAAGATCGTCTAGCTTGTTGTGTAAGTATGCTTATTTTAATTTTTTTTTTTTTTTTATCATCAAATTGCCTTATTCACAGGTAGTGAGCACAGAGATCTGGTAGGTAATGCTGAACAGCCAACAACCTAAGTACAGTAATCATTACTAATTATTCTAACTGGTTTTGGAATAGTTGAGTAATAAAACTTTGAATTAAGTGAGACCAACTCGACTTCGATAAGACTAAAGCCTCTGGTCATTGATGATCCTAAGTAATGTCTATGTGAAATTTGCTGAAGGGACTTATTATATTTTCAAATAGATTGGGGGTAAAATTCATATAGTTATTTGTACATTTTTTGTGCAGGGTGGCAGCAAACCTTTGGACTGGCAGACTCGTGTATGTATTGGTGAGGGATCAGTGCGTGGTATTGTCCACCTCCACACCTACCAGGAGCGACCACTTGTTCATCGGGACATTAAGAGTGCCAATATTTTGCTGGATAAGAATTTTACTCCCAAGGTCAGTTGCCTGTTACTACAACACTGCAGTCCCTTAAGCCTGTCTTCTCACTTGCTTCTATTTTTATGTTATAATGTTGTCTTTATTTGTTAATTGATTTCATGTGCTAATGTACAGGTGAAAATTATTATAACTTGGTTAATGGAATGAGAACAGATCATTTAGATATGATAATTTTGTCCTTATCTTACTACAGGTCACTCTTCCTCGTATTAACTCATGCTATTTAGGTACAGTCGAGGAACCTACCTAGAGGTGTATGGACTGAATCTCTGAGGTTTTGAGTTTGAAGCTGTTTTGTTAACCAACAGATGGCACGCTTCTCTGAGTAGTTTTTGGTGTATGTGCGTTTGTGCATGAATGTAGGTTTACAATGTAGTAGAGCGGATAATGGAAAAATCGTGCAAATGGTGATACAAGCATGAAATTTGGCATGATCATATCCTAGGGGCTACTTGTCAAATATGCCTGATTGGCCATTTGGAAATCCAAGATGGCTGCCCCTCCCACACTAGTTGTAGCCCTCCACATGTGCAACATCTGTGATCAACCCTGCCGGTCCTGTTTCGGTCTCTTTCGTCACCTCAGAACTCACCAGTGAAGGTGACATCCCTAATAACTCATATCATCGTATCATAACTGGAAGATCATCATACTCGATTCCGAGTGACAGCAAAGTGGGAGTAGTAGGTTTACATATATGTGTGTGTGTGTGTGTGTGTGTGTGAGTACAACAGAGTAGAACAGTTCAGTTATAATTGCTCACATGAGCTTTACTTATTTACCATGCAAATTTGTTTCAATAAAAGGTCTTTAAACAAAATATTATGACGCGTTATTATGATGGGGATGCAATAATTTTATGAAAAAAAATTTAAAAAAATTATACCAGTCATAAAATGAGTTCTAATTACAGTAAGTTAGAAGCACTTTTTTTTTTTTTTTTACAAAACTAATCCTGAATCCATAAACTGATTAAGTTTCATTCAATACAAAATTTATAATCATTAAAATAGCACATAATCTTCAGGCAAGTGAAAAAATTATTTAAGCAACCAAATTTCATTTAGTGCCTGGTCAAAGGACAACTAGAAAATTTCAGTTTTTGGATGTTTTGTACTTTCATAACAGTCATATCATATTCTTAAATTATAAGATAGTATGATCAGTAGCTTCAAACTGGTTTTCTCCCTGGGAACATAGGTTAGGTGTGTAATGACTGGCCAGACTTTGATCTGTAAGATATCTTAACCTCAATAGGACAGCTGTTGCACCAAATCTCCCTGATTTAATTTGATAGTGTGATCGGGAAGGGAGGGAAGCATGACTGGTACCGGGTATATCCAGAGATACTTAACAAATCATCCATGACTGACATCATGGGGGGGTTGTGTGTGCATTTAAACCCTACATTAAACTACCCATATTAAGGGAGTTGCCAGGTTACAGATTCCTCTGGAAAACAGGTTATCATGATCAATCCCATATTTTGATGCACCACCTGATCATGGTTGAAGTTTCCCCCTTGCTTATCACAAATTCAATTGAGTAAGTAACTGTTATACAACAGTTCATAATCGACAGTGTACTTGCCTCAAGAATGTCGGTAGCCCACTGAACAAAGTCTGTCAGGTGTTCTGGCAAGTGATCCCACAGATTACCTGTCTTTTCCCTTCAGCCATAAATTGGGACTTCATTCTTCTATCTTTTTGTCTATATTCTAGGTTGGCGATTTTGGACTTGTTCGCCTTGGAGGCAGTGGAACTCACACGAGGACTTTAATCAAGACAACAACTGTATTTGGCACATCAGCCTATATGGCCCCTGAAGCATTTAGAGGGGATATTTCTGTTAAGATGGATACATTCAGCTTTGGAATTGTAAGTTTTGCATTCTTTAGATAACTATGAAACTTTTGATACTTTATTTATACATCACATTCTGACAGATTCTTTAGAAAAATTTCATCAGAAAATATAAACTTGTATCCCTCAACAATTCATGGTAATTTGAGGAGCAAATTATATTTTAAATGCTTTCATCTGTACTTAGAGGAGAAAATTTATGGTTTTATGAAATTAAGGGATGAAAATATGGACCCATTGAAATACAGCTGCTCCATGACTTACGACAGGGTTAGGGTCCCAAATCCAGGTCGTAAGTCGAAAATGCTTAAATAATACATAGAAAATCTAAAATGGGTGTCTCTTTTTCTTCTCAGCACCACAAAACTCTCACTTTTAAGCTTGCCAGCCATTTTAAAGTGAATTACCGTACAAACAAAAATTTTATCAGTACACAGTGCAATCACTGACGTTGGGACTCGAAAATACGTAATTTGAAAAAATTTTGGTACGACTGAGCTGGTCGTATGTCCGGGTGGTCGTAAGTCGAGTAGGTCGTAAATCGGGGAGGAGCTGTATTAAAAGTTTTAAAAGATTGTATTTTTAGGATTTGATTAATATAAGTACATTATGAAAGACAAACCTAGTTTATGGATAATTTATAATTTCTATTATGCAGGTTCTGCTGGAGCTGCTGACAGGCCTTCCATCATATGATGAAGAACGGGAAGGATGTGATCTGGTAAATAGTTACCATTGTGCCAAATCCTTATTATTTGCAAGGTTTACCTTAAATTACATCTCTCACCACTTGTTAGGGAACTATAACTAGGGACACCTGTCTCCTCTTGTAAGGGAACTATAACTAGGGACACCTGTCTCCTCTTGTGAGGGAACTATAACCACAATCCCTTGAGAGGTTGACTGTAACAAAGTAAATTTATTTTGTTATTGAGCTCAAACAACTTTTTTGAATAGATAAATTACCTGAAAGTAACTCTTCTCCTCATGACTTTTACTTTTAATTATCAGTACTATACTCTTACTTAGTTACTTATTTTTAGGGCCTCTATTTAGCATGTTACTTTATTCTTGGCATCTAAGCAGCATGTGTGTGTGTGTGATACAATATTTACTCAGGCAATCAGAACTCATTGAGTGTTGGATATGTTTCCAGTCAATCATAACTCAATATTGCGCATACGCTGTATTCTGAGTGAATCACAACATGAAACATCTCGTTTTGCTGTATATATTCTCTATGGGTGTTTCATTTTTATATGTGCAGAACCAGTGTGAAAAAATACATTTATTTCATGGTCTATACCTTTAGTAGTATGGTCAAAAACAATTCACCTTGGCCATTTAGTCCCAGAAGGCTACAATAAGTAACAAAATCTTTGAAAATCAGCATTTGGTAAGGTTAATTGAAAGGTATGTGCAATAAATAAACCATATACAGGTTACATCTCCAATTTTCCGGCACCGTTGGTTCCAAAGCCTTGCCGGATTATCCGTTTTACTAGACCAACCGAGGTCAGGTAATAATAATTCAACAGTACACCTCTGACCCACTAATTATACACCTCCTGTGTCTCTAAAGCACCATGGACTGCTAGAAACTTAAATTAAACTAATATTAATTGTAAATTAAATGTGAAAAAGCCATAATTTTGAGCAACATTACTGTACGTACACACTTTGTACTCAAATGTACTACACAAACGGCCTTGAGTTGCCAGCTGTCTCCAGCAGTGTTCGAAGAATCTTGAATGAGACTGTACATATACTGTATTGTAATAATCTGATTGACCCAGAGCCTCATTGATATTGGTTTACCAAGTGATCAGTGTACTGGTAGTTTTTATTTTTTTTTTTGTGGGGACCCTAATTATACATAGAGGAATTTGTGACTTGAAATACAACTGGATATTTAGGACAAATTAAAAAAAAAATATTAACAGTATCAAAGATGCAACTATATTGGTAGCTTTCTATTTTATTACTTAAGGTGTTTATATGTCTGTGGATGTTAGACTACATTTTTTTTTTCCTTAACTGTGCTTTACAAATATCCATAACTATAATGTTGTTTTCTGTACAGTATACCTAATTATCTGCATGTAACATTTAAAATTATGATTATGTTTTAAGAGAAACTTCATTCTTTTCAGTTATCACATGTTCAGGAGAGTGAGGCGGAGGTCGCTGACTTACTGGATATAAGTGCCGGCACTTGGGATATTGAGGTTGCCTCACAGTTGTTTGCTTTAGCTGAACTCTGCACTGAGGCTAAGAGGAAAAGACCAACAATGGTACAAATTCTCCGTGATTATTCGAGCATTTTTAAACATTAGAGTATCTGTGCAAGTGTTGTCTTATGTATGATATGTATTATAATATAATACAGTAGTGTACATTCCTTTTATATGTCTCTCTTGATTATACTGTATAATATGATACAGTACTTTACATTGATGTAATAATATTTTAATATATTTATGTAAATCAGATGGGGAGGACCGCTCCCACACTTGTTCTAATACCCTGTATCTTTATTTCTCATTCTTTCCTGGTTGTCACTCAATATCTACTACAATTTCTTCATTTCAGTTCTCTCAAATAATTTCTCCTTGCTCCATACATCAACATTGAACAAACCATGTCTTTCTATCTTCAACTCTTATTTTCTAACTTAAATAGTCTGTGAAGTGTTATGTCATTCTCATTATTACAGTAAACCCTCATTTTTTTGTGTTAGGTTGTGTTTCTGCCCACTCATGGTATACATGGTACTGTATACACTCTTATACTGTACATGGTTCAGCATGGTGGTCAAATGAGTCAAAAAATTTTAATTTCTGTCAAATGTCCCTCCCTGAATGCTGCTGCTATCTCCATTCTTCTTAACACACACACATATACAGCCTCTTCCACTTCCACCTGGTACAGTCAGTGTTGTCAATCCTTCCTCTCTGTGCAGTGTGAACCCCAGCAGTATCATGCTCCACCCTGAGGTATGATTGAATGTTCCATTAAGCTTATGTTTGTTGTGTTTGATTACCGGCACTCATTTCTTCAGATTTATACTGCCACAAACAAATTGTAAAAAATCAACATAATGTTGACATGGGAACTCTTCCATCTTGTAGGCAATCCCTCCTTCAGCACATAAAAAGGGTAAACTATTAAGTTGGCATATGGAAAAGGTTTCACATCCCTTGCCCAGATGTTCCTGATGTCCCTGATGGAGACATTCTACCACCTAAATTAGTAGACATCCTGGAAGATACGACAGTATAGATCTGAAAAGTTCAGATAATGAAGACTTTGCTGCAGACAGCTTGTCTGCCTTGTATGATGATGATGACTCTGAAGGTGATTAATATGATTAATACTGAGAGCATTTAGTTGTCAAGACAATAATTAAAATACAAACCATTATATTGTAACTTATACTAATAGGTTTAACCAGATGATTCAACCATAATTGTAACAATGTTGGACTAAATTGCTTATTCTAGTTCAATACTGATTTTAAACATAATTTTAGGTCATGAATGTATGAATACAAGTAAAGTTGGCAGCATTTGTACAGCTAGATGTATTTTGTCCATAATTCTGTAATTGATAATGTTGATATGTTACACGAGACGCTTTAAAAAAAAAAGACATATGTAATTTGAATTTTTTCTTCTTTATTGTAAGAAAAATATTGTTTTCAGATCACACTTTTCAGAATAACAATATACAGTAATCAAACCATGTGACAGAGTCTGTAAGTTAACAAGATAGAAAAGCTGAAAATTGGTATTGAATATGTGCATAGCACATCCCAATAGTATTGGTTTTAATATATTTATTCCTTATATAACTTATAGAAGTACTGTACTGTGTCTAGGTATTTTGCTGAAGAAACTCAATTTCTGTTGATGTCGTACATATGAAATGTGTAATTAATGCACTTACATCTGTGCTAAATAGCTGGTCAGTTGCTCATTTTCAAGCTTATGGTGTTTATTTCATATTAGACTGCAGTTATTTCAAAGTTATAAAATAATAGTATGCTGTTTGGGAAAATGCAAGGAGACGTTTTAACCTCAGAATTTCACAAACGCGCTGACCACGCATTCAAAATGGTCCCACTATACAGTTCATGGTGCATCCCTAAATTTTGAATGTTAACATATATTTTCTCCTTTAGGAGACTCATGGAACAAAATGGTACAGTTGCAGAAATGTGTTCCTACACCCCCTGTGGTTACCCTTGTCTCCAAACAGCATCGTCGCAGTAGTAGTATCACTATTTATGAATGAATGATTGTGTATTGGTCGTGTAACGACGTACGTGATTGGTGGATAGGTTTGCTATACATCATGCAGGTTGGTCATTTGAAGACATGGGCTACCACAAAGTGTGTAGGAACACATTTCTGCAACTGTACCAAAGAAGTACTAGATTAGTGGGGGGGTTGAAGGGTTACTCTACCTAGCCCACTGCACAGTACAGTACAGTATACATTTGGGTATTCCCTTAGGGTCTCATTACAGTACAGTATTGACTTTTTTACCATGGAAGATGTATGTGCTTCAACTCTGTGAACCTCCTGCACCACTATAACAGATAACAAGGAAGAATAATATAAGAAATTTTTTGTTCTTGTTTAAGAAGATTCTTGTTCATAAATTTTCAAGTTTGGTTATCAGTGGAAAGGTTATTTCTTGTACAGTAGAATGTAAAGAAAGCACAGAGAAAAGCAGAGAATTGGAGTGATATGACATTCATCTGTAGTGGGTTGTGACTGTACCGGACAGCTGGTGATCTACCTTTCCCGTAGTCAGCCAAGAACCTTACACCCTATTTTCCATAGACCCTAAGTACAGTATTTTTTACATAGATCCTCTTTGTGGAGTGTTTTTCAGAAACCTAACCACCATGTAAATTGAGGGTTTACTGTATTTGTAATTTTTTCAAACTTTAATGAAAAATCTTAATACAGGGGTACTTATCAAAGAAAATTGTGCAGTCCTTCTATTTGACTATTGTTTGACTAAACAGTTCATATATAATTTTATAGTGTGCTTAGATGTTTATAGCTTTTATGTCAGTTATGTACACTTACATGAAGAATTGTTTGTTAATATCTTTTGTCAATATCTTGGTAATTTTCCTTGGGCCTACTATTCTCTTACAGATCACTTGCATTCATAAATACCTCATTTTTACACTTCCCTCATTTCTATTAACACCATTTCATCATCCTTAACCAGAGATTTAAAGGGATATAGCAGTGACAATGTCCATTTGTGTCAAATTTAATGTCCTCGTAACCTTCTGGAGACTTGATGGACTGATTCCAGTTTGGAAGAGAAAATTCATTATGACTTAGGCCCCAGCTAGGATTTGTTGGATGTGTGCTAGTCCTATTGATCTTAGAGCTACAGTAGTGTATAGCTTAGACTTGGATAAATTCTTATAGCTACAAATATGGTGTCCTATTGATAATTTTTCATATATTAAGTGGACACATTTCAATTTCAGTATGAAAGTTTATGTTTGGGTCTTGCTTGGAATTATTGGTTGTAGTGATACCCTTAGAAAATTTGTATTTATGGTACTTTACAGGTATACTTCATTTTAATAAAATTGGGTAGATAATGGTAAACATTATTTCTGCAAGGAAACATTCCAAATATTCAGTGAATTAATTTCAACTGTAGTGTGAAGGTATACAATAGAAGGACCTTGATTTGGATTACAGTATCAGGCATAAAGGTACAGGGTAGCCTCAGTTATAACTGTGGGAAAGTGTACAGGCCAAGAGCACGATAACTACAAGTGATAGTGATTGAGATAATTTACACAGAGGATATTGAAATATGGAGAAAGATGACCAATTTAGAGGGAAATTGAGCCATTAATGATCAGACCTATAGGTCTAGCATAGATAATGAAAGGAGCAAAACAGTTGTGGAAGAAGGAAACCATGAATTAGAGATTTTATATTATGTATACTGTACTGTACTATGAAATGTTTTTGTATTATGTACAGTATTTTTCATATATATTTATGCCATTTATGTATTGCTATGTATTGTATACCATTCATGCATGTACCTGCCACATATGTCATATGTTATGTATGTTAGCTAGCTGCTGGCACTACTTTGTTACTCAGTGTATGAATGTGCTGGTGTGCCTATAGTGGCAACTTTCAACATCTGCCAAATTCAGTTCCCACCTATCTGCTGCCTGAATCACACCCTGTAACTCTGTAGTGTAATTTTTTTCCACAAGTAAATATCAGAATCCATCGCTGTTTTCTCATTTACTGTATATCCAAACTGTAACATCTTACTCATTCTAATTCTCTATATCAGTCATGTTGTAATTTTCTATGTCTTAATTGTGTTGCAGTTTTTTTTATCTTAGTCTTGTTGTAATTTGTTATATGTTAGTTGTGTTGTAATTCTTTATTTGTTAGGTTAGGTTGTTGTTACAATGTTTTCTATAAGTCTTGTTCTAATGCTCTGTATCTTAATCATCATCAACATTTTACATGTTTGAATGTGTTAGCCACGATTACCTTATGGCCGCTCTTCACATTGCACAGTCTGTCAACTCCAATGTCATTTCTTACAACCTCTCCTCATGTCGTTCTTGGCCTAGCTCTTCCTCCCCTTCACATTTAGGCTCATGACCCTCTTGAACCAATTGGTCTCATCCATTCTTTCCATTGCCTAAACCATCTCAGATTGCCTGTAGGATTTTGCCAGTACTTTACTCTTAATACCCAGTTGCCTTTTTAAATCTGTCTTTCAATGTCACATTACATATCTACATCACTATTCTCATCTCAGCTCACTTAAGCTAGCTTATGTTATCTTTAACTACCCATGTTTCACCGCTATACAACTTCACACTTATCACACCAGCTGCATCCATTTTTCCTTTTATGTGGAGGGAAGGTCCTCTTTCTGTCAATAAAAGCAGCAGCTCCCTAAACTTTCACCAGTCACTTCTGACTCTTGCAACCGAGTATGCTTCAGCTCCTCCACCTGTGCTAATCATGTCACCCAGGTAACAGAACTCATCGACACAGTCCAGGGACATATCCCCAATGTTTAGTTTCCCCAGCCTTGTTGTGGGCACATAGGGCCCTGCAAATACAGAGAATTTAAAATCGGTAACATCCTGTAGTGTGCCATCTTCTGCACTGCACCTCATATGTACAGTACACCCTCCATACTTTCCAAAAGTGAATGGGAATCGTGAATGTTTGTCAACCACGGTTAGTAGGTATCGATTTTGGGAAGTTGACGGCAAGGGACTCTTGAAATCGGTTTAACCGTTCAAAAGGCTGATTAGGTTTGATGAGGGCGGTTGTGACGGGTTTGTAGAACTGAGGTTTAAGCCTGGCACAGGTAGAGCACTCAGCACATACCTTCTTGACGTCATCTACAGAATATGGTAAGTTGCGAATGCGAATGAAGTGAGCCATTCTTGTGACTCCTGGATGACATAACTGCTGATGGAGATCCGACAGATTGTTGTGGTTGGTAGCCAAACAGAATGCTCTTGATAGAGCAACAGCAGTTGAGTTTTCAGTCCCTGGCCGATAGACAATGTTGTTGTCGAAGCAGACTAGTTCGACCCACCATTGTTGGATCTTGTCGTTCTTGATTTTTCCCAGCTTCTTGGAGTGGAACATGAAGGACACAGATCGTTAATTGGTGATGAGAGTAAAGTGTCTGCCAGATAGGAAATGTTTCCATTTCCTTACTGCTTCAACGATAGCATGGGCCTCTTTTTTGACAAAAGAGTGTCTGCACTCACTGTCTGAGTGTTCTCGAGAAGAATGCAACTGGTCTACCGGCTTGATTCACGGAGGCAGCGATGGAAGAGTCGGAATCATCGGTTTCTACTACGAATGGAATCGTCTCTTCAATCGAGCTGGCTACCGCACTTGCTATTTCCTCTTTAATATTTTCGAAGGCGGAGACTGCTTCCCCTTGGAGAGGGAATGTCTGAGCCATGACCAAAGGTCTGACCTTGTTGGAAAAGTGTGAGATCCACTGAGAGTAGTATGAAAAGAGTCCTTTCACGCGTCGTAGAGCAGGTAAGTCTTTCGGAAGTGGCAATTCCTTCAGAGGACGCAAGCGATCGGCGTCTGGCTTGAGAGTACCATGCGATATGGTGCAGCCCAACAAATCAATCGACGTTGCTGAGAAGACAGATTTGTCTTCATTGAAGGTGAATTTTGACTTCTTTGCTGCCTCAAGGAATCTGGACAGATTTTCATCGTGCTCCTGTTAAGACGACGCAACGTTGGTGATGTCAATGTATGAGAAAGTACCCAACAGTTCGTTTCTACGTATGAATTCATCGATGGTTCGTTGGAAACAAGCCACGCCGTTTGTCACTCCGAATGGGACCAAACGGAACTGGTACAATTTACTGTCCGCTTCAAAGGCAGTGAATGGCTTGTCCATATCCCGTATAGGGATCTGATGGTACGCACTCTTTAGGTCGAGCGTGCTGAATATCTTTTAACGAGATAGGTTAGTCACCAAGTCGTCTATCTGAGGCAAGAGATAAGCATGCAGCTGGGTATAACTGTTGATGGTATGGCTGTAGTCGACAACAAGCCGCTTTTTGTGCTGCTCATTAGTAGTGATGAGGACTTGCTCCCTCCATGGTGAAGTGCTGGGTTCGATTATTCCTTCCAACAACATCTTATCGGCTTCACCTTTGATGAACGCCCTGTCCGCTTAACTAAATCGTCGCAACAGGTTTAAAGGGGGAGGTCAGATTAGAGAAGAGAGATGGTGGATCGACCAAAGCAGATGTTAGGCTACAAGCAACTGTATTATCTCCGATGATGAGGTGCTCTTTAGGCCCACCGAAATCAATAGTAACATCACTATGTAGGCTCACGAAATCTTGACCAAGAATAACGTCACTGCATAGGTCGGGAAGAACAGTTAGTTGAGTAGCTGGATAGAGTTTCCCCTTGAGGGTAATATCTACAGTACAGTGACCTAGTACTGGCGATGATAGGGAAGACGAGGCCATAGACACGTGACCTGACCCTGGATGACACTTCAGAGACTTCTGCTGGATATAGAGGTTTGATGCAAACGATTTTGAGCTCCCGGTATCGACGATGGCTGTAGCTGTATCGTCATTAACAAGCACATATATGGTAGATCGAGCGAGACAGCCAGGGGAAGTTGCAGATATTGCAGCCAAAGTAGAAGAGTGTAAGACAGCACAAGTGGAAGATGAAGTAGCAGGTGAGTAATGAGATGATCTGCATACTTTTGCAAAATGGCTTTTCTTGTTGCATTTGTGGTAAGTTGAATCACGCAAAGGACACTGAAGTCGGTTATGCTGTGCTCCACCACAGAAATAACACTTTGGTTGTTGAGTGGCAGCAAAGAGGGGAGAGTCATCGCTGTCGATTTTCTCAGGTGAAGTAACAACGGCAGCATTCATAGGAGCCTGAGACCGAAGATAGGATTCGGAGTTTCTTTGAGCCAGATCTAGTGCGCGAGCCTGGTCGAATGCAGTAGCCAAATCGAGAGTCTTGTTTTCTAAGAGATGCTGTCTGATCATAGGAGATAGTAGACCGTTGCTAAAAGCGTCACGAATATACTCGTCTCTGTTCGCCTCTGCTGTGACAACTTTGAAGTTGCAGTCCTTGCTGAGCTGATGAAGTTCCTGTAAATATTCTTCCAAACTCTCGCCTGAGTGTTGCCTCCTAGTAGCTAGTAGATGAGGGGCGAACACTTCGTTCTTCGGCTTTATGTACAAGTCTTGCAGAACCAGGATGGCAGCATCGTACAAGACACAGTCGGCTATTTATCCGTACACAGATGGGGAGATGAAGTTGCAGAGAGTGGCTAGCTTGTCGGGCTCTAGAGCAGAAATGGAGGTGAGTAATGTGTTGAAGGCCCTGAACCAGTGATGCCACTCCATTGAAGCGGTGGGAGAGTTCGGTGTAGCATCCAGATGTTCCGGCCTCAGGAACTTCTCCATTATGACTCCGTTTCAGTTATGAACAATAAATTGTGGTGTTACTATTGATTTCGGTGGAGTTGAAAAATTCACGCATTTTGTGCTGATCTGCAAATTTTTGTGTTTCACATGCTTTATTTTTAAACCAGTCGTTCTTTAGATTGCAAAGTTCCTGCTGGGCCACAGCTTTATCAGCTTTGGTCCAAGACTGAGGGTTGTTCTGCCTGTCAGTTAAAGCAGCACGTTTATCACTGATGAGTACTTTGATTGCCGGACAATTTTCATCAAACCAGTCCTGGTGTATTTTTTCAATCTGGCCGATGGTCTCTCTACAGGTTTTTGTCATAACAGTGTCGAGAATATCGCATTTGGTACTGGGATTTGGGTTGTTTGTTGTCAAGTTATTTATCAGCCCATGTTTGAGCTGCTCTCTGAAAGCATGTGCTACCGCTAGATCCTCCAGACACTTAGTGTTAAAACCTCTTCTAGAGGCTTGCTGCCTTTGCTGCTTTGGGGCTACGTGAAGTGAGAGCTTGGCTCTGACAAGTCGATGATCAGTGTCACAGTGGTCTGAGCCACGCACGAGGACATCTTGGCGATCTCTTTCTCTGACAATGATATAGTCAATGAGATGCCAGTGTTTGGAAATTTTCCATTACTGTACCTAGAATTATTCTTTAATACTGGCATTTTTTTGGTCACATGGACTCACTATGATATTGACACTACTTTTACTACTTTCTACTTTTATCCTCTTCACCACTGATCGGCTCATTAGCCGCTTGGGCGATCAGTCACATATCTGTTACACACTGTTAGCAAGTACTAGGCATGCACTGGCTCCTGAATGTATTTGAACCTGCTCCAGTGTTGGTCAAGTCTGGTCTTGAAACAGCTCACACTCGGTGCCGTCACAACGCTCTCTGGCAGGCCACAGAAAATCAAATATATAAGGCATTCCCAAATACTGTACTCCAGTTTCTTTCTCTACTAACACTTGGCAACAAAGTTCATAAGAACGAAGTAAAAGTACAGACCAACTGCCCGAAAGTTTAGTAAACTGATAGATGTGAAATGATAAATCAAAAGGATGTATAGACAGTGCGGGTATACTTACTTGGTAATCCTGAGCTAGGTAGACTTTTACTAGTGGACAACCATGGATTTTTTGTCGAACAATGTGTTTTTCCGATGCTTTTTGTTGTGATTTCAACGAATTTGACAATGATTTTTTCACAAATTAGCCGTTTTTGAGTTATGCCCCCACCTCTAATATGTGGGACCCGAGGGGTTTTGGGGTGGGAGATGCACACACAGCTAATTGGTGGCAAAAATCATGGTCAAATTCGTTGAAATCACAACAAAAAACATCGGAAAAACACATTACTCAACAACTAAAAAGCACCAAAACTAACCTAACCTAACAACGTAATGTAACCTAACCTAACCTGACAATGTAATGTAACCTAACCTGTTGTTTTACGTTAGGGTTAAAGAGATGTTGCCAGAGCGTAACGCTTACATAACCAAGTGTGACGTAGAAACTCGAGTGATAGTCCTGACTGATGCGAGAGACTTACAGTACCTGTATTGGAAAAAGTTATTTTAACGACTATTCTATTGCCGTTATTAAACATTTGCGAGCATATTATATAAAATAAAAAAAGTTTATAATGGTCAATTACATTGATTGGTAAGAAAAAATCATGAGGTTCGTTGGTTGTCTACTTGTAAAAAATACCCTGAGCTAATTATTGATTTCCTTAAGCACTGTACAGTTTGTGTAATAAAGTGTGATACTGTATAGCAACTTCAGTATTGTTCAACAACTTTCATAAATCACACCACAACACCTGTACTACAGTTTGTTTAGATTTAAACAAATGGGTAATGTTAAACATAGTCGATTGAAGAAAACTACAAAATCCTTTATCTTTTAAGCAATATTAACCGATTAAACTTATCTAGCCTAAATTTACATAAGTCATACTTATTAATTTGTTGGCTATCTGTGGGTCATTTGTATCCATTTGTATAAAAAAAATATGAAGGCTTTTGAGAATGTGGTCGAGGTATTTGGACTAACACTAGCCGCACTGTGAGCCTCGGTCTCCGGCCTTCGGGAGGGATGTAAACATTAACAGTGTCGTCTGCGAGGTGGTTAGAGGCTGGACGACTTGGTGCCTCCTTCACTTGACTGTTACTGTCGTTTTTCGTGTGTTCATGATGGGGATGCATCGGATTTTGCAAGGTGTGATGAGATACAGACAGACGTACAGAGAAGGCATGGTGAAACAGTTTGAGGTGGTGCGAGATGATCCACACGTAAGTTAATTAGAAGTTGTGTCCTGAAGTAGTAGCTGCTGGGTTATATAACTGTACATGTAGGAACTAAGGTTATAATCTAGGGTGATCTTCTCCAGTAACTGCAACTTATAAAGGTGTAGAAGATGGTGACCACCAGATGGAATTGTCCTAATTTGTTTAAATTTTTACTACACACTAATATTATGATATTAAACAAAAAGTCCATGTTTTATTAATAAAGCATTGAGTAGAGTTGAGGGTAGACTGTTACAGTTTTAATAAAGGTATTATTGCGTTTATACACCGTTCATTCCTACCACTAATCTATTATCTTATTCGAATAAGACGTCTAATTATAAGATAATTTTCATCTTTTACATTACCGCCGGAAATGTATAATAACGGAGATAGCTTTTCCAAATAAATTTATATTTTCTTCCATTATTTCCCGCCATTATCGTCTGCCTCTCGCCTAACACTGTGTGTGTCTCTCGTGTCTCATAAATCATAACGCGCATGTGTACACGTCACGCGGCCCATCAAAAGCGTTTTTGCTAATTCAGAGTATATTTGGCCCAATCAAAATTGAGTTTTATTTTGAGTCTCATATTTTGAAATTCAAGTTAGTTGCGACCATGGAAGTCTGCGATGGATGTCACTTAAAGTATATGGAGCTGATTGCGAGTTTTTGGGGAAAAAACGTAGAAACTATAGCATTTTTTCGATCGCATGGTGTTCTTCCAACCTCAGTAAAGTGTACTAAGAGCAAGACGGAATGTAAATATCGCAAAGATCAACATATGTGGCGTTGGGTAAGAATCCCAGAATGCAACGACGAACAAGAACCAGGCCAATAAGGTTAGAAATAGGTGATTCCATCATATGGTGAGAGTCAGTTAAGTTAGATTAGGTTAGGTTTTGGTTTTTCTAGTGGTTTTTGTGTATTTTTTAGTTGCTGGTTTGGTAATGATGGTTAATTTTTTTAATATGAAATCATATACACTGTACAGGGGGGTACTGCAATGTAGCAGTATCTGGTAAGTCATTCCACTGTCATAGAAATTGGTAGGAAAATTGGTGTTCATTTGAAATTTAGTCACAATTCAGTAATCATGTTATGATCTGGGTGCTCAGTTAATCTCTTCCAACATAGAGAGCTCCCATCAGGTAACCGCGGCTAACTCATGTAAGCATGGAAAATGGCTGCAAAATTGTGATGACTGTTACTATACAGTTCAGTTTAATGATGTAATGTGCAGTAATTCTTGTGATCACTTTTGTTATCAGACAAATTTATTAATTTATATTGTAGGTTTACTGAAATTAAGGCCTGCCATATTTCATCCAGTCATCTTGTCCCCAATGGAATTAAGCCTCTAATGTCTTTCTCGGGGTATCCGTAATTTGAATCGACAAGTTGTGTTGTCATTTTACTGTTTATGTGCATTTGGTGAACCAATGTGAATTTGTGTGATGATTTTTAACTCAATACGTTAAACATGTATGGTATCTACAGTATGTGTCTGTCATAATTTAAGATATGATATATATTGTTATTAATTACAGCCCCAAGCAGTTTTCTTCACCTGCATGGACAGTCGGATGCTTCCAACAAGGTTCACCCAAACTAACGTAGGCGATATGTTTATTGGTAAGTGATGACAGATTAATTTCATGTTTAATGTTGCTTTACTCTCTTCTTTTGATTTTATGGCCAGCTACCCTTCAGTAGACACCTTGAGTATAATGCACTCACTAAGCTAAAGAGTTTATGACCCAGGAGACCTGTCATACAGGCTGGTACTTATCTCAACAATTAACGGTAGTAAGCCTGCCCTATTGTAGCTGTAATTATAGAAAGCATAGAATAACCCCTTGTTAGACCTTACTATTCTCGGGCAAGTAGGTCTGGATTTTATGAATTTCCAGATATTCACGGAAATATGTATTGGGGCACCAAGTTATACCATCTACAGCTATTTAAAAGGTACATTATTTCCAACTTAATTAATATTTGCAGTACTTTGTTTTATCCACATTCCACTAAACAAGAAAATCACATATATTTACAGTATGTATATGGATTATTAAAAAAAAAGAGGAATGATTTTCAGAGATTGTATATAAACAAGGGTTTTCTAGACTTTAGGAATGTCTGTGTTCCTCACTTTTCATTGAAGAATCCCTATGCAGTACGTAATGCTGGGAACTTGGTGCCTCATGCCAATCTTTGTGGTCATGAGGAGATCACAACAGAACCTGCCGCCCTGGAGCTGGGCTGCGTCATCAATGGCATCAAGCATGTCATTGTCTGTGGCCACTCCGACTGCAAGGTATCTAGTACTGCACTATACTCCAGTTTTGGTTCTTGATAAATTAATTCCAGCTATGAGGTTTTGCCATTCGATGTACAGGCACACCACCAATTTTCCGGCACCCTTGGTTCCAAAGCCTTGCTGGATTATCCGTTTTACCAGACCAACCGAGGTCAGGTAATAATAATTCAACAGTACACCTCTGACCCACTAATTATACACCTCCTGTGTCTCTAAAGCACCATGGACTGCTAGAAACTTAAATTAAACTAATATTAATTGCAAATTAAATGTGAAAAAGCCATAATTTTGAGCAACATTACTGTACGTACACACTTTGTACTCAAATGTACTACACTAGACTAAAATTTTTATCTCTTGTGCAAACTTTGTGATGTCTCTACTCAAATTAATCACTATCTTACAAGGATTCCACCAATATAAGTTATATTCTGCTAAGTTTAGTCTGTGAAATTTTATAAGAAAAACTTTAAGCCTAAAACTACTTCACCCTGGCTGGGAGGGAGGGAGGGGAGTTAAGTGCCCCCCTCATAATTTTGTCCAGACTAAAGGAGGTGCTGGACCATCAGTTCCCGGAAAATCGGTGGTGTATCTGTATTTATCGTGTTTGTAAAGTTAAGGAATGATATTTAATTTGTTAATTGTACGTACAATACTGTACAGTAAACACTCACTAAACCGACCCTCGAATAACCGACCCAAAAATTTCCACAAATTGTTCTTACTTACAGTTGTAGGCTGCCAACCGACAGCTCTTGCTATGTCCACAGCTCAATGTCCTTCAAATCTATTTACCACATCTAATTTAACTTCCTCATCTTTCTGTGAGCACAACCATTGTGCATGTTTAGCACTCATTGTTCTAGGGCTCAAATAAATTTATAAATGGATATTAAGTGAATGTTGTAAGAGCATCAACCCACCACTGAACAATACCAAACAAATATGGCTCCCACGATGGTAGCTTACACAGTTGAGCGTCCTCGTATCAAATTTTTTTATTTGAAATACTTTTACTATTTTCATACATATTTTAAATTTTTGTACAGTACAGTACCTGAATTATCTGACTTAACGGCTTTTCTGACCCGCCCCTCCCCTCCCCCCATATGGGTCAGTTAAACAAGGGTTTACTGTACTATACAATAGATAACCTCAGTACGTAGTTCATTTTTCATTAGCTAACGAGCATGTAGGTCAAGATCACAGCTCACGCTTCAGACATGTTTCTGGTTTCTAAATTTATTTAGCAGGTCATACAGCAATTAAAAATTAATTTCTCATTGCATATTAATGATATACAGTACTGTACAGTATATACTGAGTATACAAATTTATCTGTCAATAAAGGGTGGGCACATTAAGATGGATACAGAATTGCTTATATTATATATTACTGTACAGTATACAAGTCACTTGTATAAAGCTACCAAACAGGGAGGTACTACCGCCAGGGAATATATTGGAAGCATAATGTTATTGTCTAATGGTAGACCCTGCTGCCATATGGCATCACAAAAATTGTGACCAAGTCCCAGGTTGTTGATCTGACTTTCTGCCTCATTTACACACAATTGTAGGGTCTCAATTGTTTCTCTTACTATTGACAACACAACATATGTATATTGTTTCTCACTTTTTATCTTTTTTCTCATTTTTTAATTTCTTTATTATTATTATTATTATTATTATTGTTATTGTTATTATTATTATTATTATTACAGTGTTGTTATTATTATTATTATTATTACAGTATTATTATTATCATTATCACTATAAATTTATTATTTTATTTTCAATTTTGTATTTTTTATTATAAATTTTATTTACTATGAATTATTATTATTATTATTATTATTATTATTATTATTGTTATTGTTATTGTTATTGTTATTGTTGTTATTATTATTATTATTATTATTATTATTATTATTATTATTATTATTATTATTATTATTATTATTATTATTATTACATTTTCGCCCCCCAGGCCCCTATGTGGGTCAGTGACCTGTGCCCGGGTGGGCTAATCCCCGTAAAAAAAAAAAAAATTAATGTTCATTTTTTGTTATGTAACATAATAACTTTCTGTGTATACTGTAACACCACACTGCCAATGGCTAATCCTAAGTGGTCTTCGAAACTTATCTTGGGTAATGGTAATTGTGGTTACAATATTAGTAGTAATTTTAAGTGGTAAAACACCACAATATGCTGACTTGTTGAGTGTTAGTCTCCTGAACTATCTGTGTCCTGTACATCCATTTCATACATATCATCTCATCTGTTGCTTCAACTTCAGCTACCCAGATGATTCTTAACTTTAAACTGTGACTGCAGGAAAAGCTGACTACAGAATTAAAGATATGCTGCAGATGTATGGAAAATTGATGGATAAAAGTTTATACAGTACACCTTTCTTTTGCTGTGATGGAGTGTTCTAAGTGAGTGTGTGGGAGCCAAGCTATTAGAGGGAAACTGGGGGTGGCGGGAGGCAGATTGCCAATGACGACAGCTAAAGTGTGTCTTCCATGACGCCTGAAAGATAACTACAAGCCCTACTAAGGTATGAGTACCATGAGGAGGTTTGATGAACATGTGATTCTCTTAATGAATGCTAATCTTGGGACACAGTTTTAAATCAGTGGCATGAAAACCTTGTCATTATATAATGCACTCCATAGTTTAAGGGTTAAATTTATGTACAGAACTACAGTATAGATTAAATTTTTGCAACCTTTGTTCAGGAGGTGGGTATGTACTGTAGTTATTTTGGTAAGCATTCATATTTGTTGTTTTTCCCCAGTAATCTGCCAGTAATACACCTTTATTTACACTGCAGTGAATGGGCTGGCTATGTGTGTAAGACTGGGCATGGTGGGGAAGGGAGGAAGCTGCTTCCTATCTCCCTGCTTTCAGTCTTACACACTTGTGCCACTCAGTGGGATGAAAATCATATTATTTGTTTGACTAATACAGTTTAACTAAATGAAGAAATGTAAAATACTTGATGAGGGTTTACTGCACATATTGAAGCTATATTTTACATAAAATATTAATACTGTACAGTCAAACTTACAAAATTTGAATGTCCAGCATCTGAAGATCTCCAAAACTCGAGAGCAAATTCCTGCCATGTGTTTCTTAACTTGAGTCATACACATAAACAGAGCTGCAACTTCTAATGCATGTCCTCATATTCATACTCATCATCATCATCATCAATGTTTTATTGTCATTTTCCACACTTGTTAGGGTTAATTGTGATTACCTGATGGCAGCTGTTGGGTAAAACTAGAATGGGATATATACCCTCATTCACTACTGCAAACCCAGAGCACCTGCCCAGAAAATGCAGCAGAGACCAGGGAATAGGCACAGCTCTGGTGACCCAATTGACATATGGCATGTTGAAGCAAATTTTACAGCTGGGTGCTCTTCCTAACGCCAACCCACGGTGTTGGAACAGATAGCAAGGCAGGTCACAACTCCCTGAGTTAATTAAAGACTACCCAACTAGCTCACTTATTACCAAAAGTTTAACCTTTAAAATGGCAGCAACTTAATAATGTGCACTGACTGTGGAAAGTGGGTAAACACTAGGAGCAGGAGTGTAAATGGCAGACAACAGGATTTTGCTGACTTAACCTTTCCAGAAATGCCTATGATTTCAGAGTCGTTCACGAAAAGTTAAATTTTCTGCCCACAAACTGAAAGTGCTATTCTAGTCTTTTTTTCCTTTGTGGTTGTGATGATGAAGTTTTTATATATGCCATTGAAATTGCCTGAAAATTATAAATAAGCTTAAAAAAGGGTCAAAATGATAGCAAAAACATGTCAAATTACAAATACAGTACTGTATATATCATATAAGTATAATACAGAATTACAACTACTTATAAATAAAATGCTGTACAATTGATAACATTATGCAGTAATTATATGCTACTGTATATAATACAGTACTGTACAGTACTGTATATGAAATTTTGAATAATTAGAGAACAAATTTTAATTTGATAAATTACAACTCCAAAAAATACAGATTATAGCAAGTAATTACAATGACACGCCTAAATATAATATAGGTTATTAAAAAAAATTACAAGAAATATAGTAGCAATAAAAATACAAATTTAAATATTATTACAGTACTACATTATACCACTTTCACCAGAACTGGATAGCATAATAAAAATGAATACGGTGACTCAAATATACTAAAATAATAACTAAAACATTAATAATAATGGGTTTTCACTATAAATAACTGCACAGTACATTACTGTGCTGTCAAACATACAACTGATGCCCCTGTGTAGCGTACCGGTAGACCTACTGAGCCTTGGCAAATGACGTGTTATTGCTGATCACTGATTATATTTATGCACTATTAACCTGTTTCACTGTTAACCTATTTGTTATAACATATATTTACTCATGACTCATCCTAACCTATTTCCAGTACACAGATTAGCTGAAATGTGTGGGTAGTGGTGATCAGCTGATTAGCTGTCCAGGCTTCAACAAACTGTGGTGCCTAAACACACTCATTTCTCCTTTATTATAATGAAATACAGTAATTCATTTATTTATATATCATTGTATTCTCCATCTATTCATGATTCAGTAATAATGTTGTCATGGCATATAAACTGAGAAGTCTGATAGTGTCAGTGGGAATCAGCTGACATAATCCATAGTGACGTCAGAGAATGTTTTGGTCTCTGAGCTCCCACCGTTCACCAACAAATCACACGAAGCTGAGCATATAATTCAAAACTCTTCAATGATATTTGAATTAAGTCTTGACGGCCAAAAAAATTTCTTCAGGTGTGGACAAAAGTCGATTTTAATCCCACTACCAAAAACCATTAGATACAACTTTTGTCGAGTTAAGTGCTCAAAGGGTTGATCGTGCTGTATATGCAGGTAATCATGTGACCCTTGCAAGTCTGGAGAAACTCAGCATTGGGGATATATCCCTGAACTGTGTCAGTGAGTTCTACAACCAAGGTAACATGATCAGTTTTGGAGGCAGTCTGCAACCTGCTCAGTTGCAATGAGTCAGAAGTGGCTGGGGGAAATTTAGGGAGTTGTTTCCTTTATTGAAGGCAAGAGGACCTTCTCTTCATGTGAAAGGAAAGATGTATGCAACTGGTGTGAGGAGTGTGATGTATGGCAGTTAAAGAGGATTATGTACGGCAGTTAAAGAGGATTATGTACATACAAAGGTTTGAGCAAACTGAAATGAGAATGGAAGGAAAGATAAGAAACCTTGTTCAGATTTATGAAGATGGCTGGGTACTGAGAGTATTGGTGAAGTTTTGCATAGAAGTGGTCTGAGTAGTTCTGACATAAGGAGAAAATGGATGAGCCAATTAGGTCAAGAGATGCATAAGTACAGTGTTGCTGCATGCCATATGAATAGTACTATGTAAATGTATTGACAGGCAATGAACATGCTACACATGATGCGCAACAGTGATCGCACACTTCACGAAATGCTGAAGCTCTCCCCTCTGAAAGCTTGGCTTATGCGCCATGGGCACTCTTCTGTAGGAAAGTTTGCACAGTTAGAATTGGCAAATTTCCAAGCTCCCCTGGTATTTCAGGTAAGAATTCCTAAAAAATTTTGAGCTTTGCTTATAACATTGTTATTTTTGACATATGTAGTCTTAATTGTAATAAATAAGTTGTAAACCTTGAAACTTTAGCTTTTTGATAAATTGTATAAAAACTGTATAGGTATGTTCTCTAAATAACCCTTCCCATATCATAACTACTATAGATGTAAGTTATGTAGAATCTAATGGCGTCTTGTTACCTTTTCAGTGTCTTTATATTGAATTATAGATTTCATTATGCATTTAACCCACAAGATCGACTACAGTATTACTGTACTGTATACGGATGGGTATTGTACAGTTGCCTCCACATGAACGTACTGCGGCCTAGATGTGTGTCAGGGCACATTTATGAATGTGGTAACGCAGTGCTGTAGTCATGGGTGTGAAACCGTGGATTACTCTGTTTGCCGTTTTCCCGTAATTCAGTCTTGGTCACTTGGTCGTGGCTGTGCAACAATGCTGCATAAAATATATTACAGGGTTTATTTATCCGTTTTCCTCCTTTATTGTTTGTATCTTATTGCAAACAAGGTAATTTCGCTGTTTCACATTCAATCATTCAGCCCTGAATGGAGCTGTATTGCCACATCTCATACCCGAGCCCCACTCACTCCCAGGCTGTGGTATGTTCATGTGGAGGCAACTGTACATGTGCCAGGGTGTTTTCTTTCTGATGATTTTTTTACATTATTGTTTAATAAGTTACAGCCAGGAATATATGTCATCTTTGCTTGGCTTTCAATTGAATTATTCAGAAAACTACTTCACATTACAGTTTTAGCTTGCATATGTGAATAAACATAAATATCAATGAGGTAGTAGTGTAGAGGTTTTTGCGGGAAAGTTTTTGATATAAAATAGGGAGATGCATGGTGGAATATGTTCATTGAATATGCAGTGGTAAGGAAGAAGTAAACATGAAAAAACTTTATAAACAAATGTGGAAGTAGATGAGCAGAAGAGGTAGTAAGCATGCAGACCAGAAGGAATTTTTTTTTTTTTAAGATTGTATAGAAGGGAAGGCTGGGGATTTGAGAGTAAAGCTAAGCTATGAATTTGTTGGAAATTAAAGTTGTATCATAAACTTATAAAAGAAAGTAGTTGAGGGGAAAAGACCTGCAATAACAAAATACAGTGTACTGTATTATACTTTCTCACACACTCAAGAGCTGATATAGGTGAGATGTTCCAAAATCTGGCAGGTTGGTGTCGGAAATGTTTTTGTGCTGTATAGATTCCCAGCATTCTTCCCTCCCTCAGGTCAATCCCTCAAAATTCCACCTTTGGTACATTTCTGGGGTGCATGGTCATCTCCGTGCCAAACTTCAGCTCTGTATCTTCAAAATTGTTGCTGTGCATAGCGAACAGACAGACACTGCTTGGTCAGATATCAGTTCCACCCATTTTTCCCAGTGCACGAGTCCCCTCACATGAAGTTGACTGAATAAGAGATTAACCCTGATTGACACTAGGGGCCCCATCATAGACCCCCTAGTAAGCAATCCCTATTTCAAGACCCGTTTGACTACATAACAGAGGTTAAGAACCTCAAAAGGCCATCATTAAGTGATCGATTGTATATCGATATTAATAACTTATGGGGAAAAATAGGTTCTGTTCCTGAGCCCATACAAATTTTATATCCTGCTGCGATAATGATTAAATAATATTTAAATAACTCAAATAATTTAGAAATAGACATAAAAACAATAACTATACTCTGTACTCATATACAACAAAAGATATATTTTCATTTACTTTACATATTATGTACGTGTACAGTATAGTATGTTGCGATCCCTCAGCTGTCATTAAATACTGAATGTGTGTCAGAAAGCATAATCATTTAGCAGAATCAACAGCTGTCTTTATATACATGTCATTGTCACACACACATACAGTCTCTCCTCCACTTAAGATCGGTTCTCTCGACGACCAGTTCGTAAGTCGAAAAGGTGAAAATAATACATAGAAATTCTAAAATTGGTGTCTCTTTTTCTTCTCAGCACCACGAGAACTCTCACTTTTACGCTTGTCAGCCATATTAAAGGGAAATACAAACGAAAATTTTGTCAGTACACAGCGTGATCATTAACGTTGGGACTCGAAAATACGTAATGTGAAAAATATTTTATACAACCATGGCCCTTGTAAGTCGAGGAGAGACTGTATTCATAATACACAATAGTTTAGATAAGGAAATTAATAAAAATATCTTATAAAATAATTTTGTAAGTACAGTAATCCCGTGTTTTTCGCGGGAATTATGTTCCTGAAACCCCTGCGAAAAGCCCAAACCGCGAATACTCTTTTAGGAATCACTGTACCTGTGGCCACCAAACAGCTCAGGTAGGTCATGCACTTAACCACACCATGCTCTCCACTCACTGCCCAGTGGTCACACTGATCACTGATGCACTGTACCGGCATTTACTAACATCTTTATTTGAAACTAATCATATTGTAGTATAATAAGTCGAGGAGAAACGGGGTCGGGTGTACATGGGTTATATTCAGGGAGAGGGTAGTGGAAGCAAGTGTGCCGACACAGGGCCAGGGGGCAGCAGCGCATCCTCCACCCCCCACCCGGAAGGAGGCGAGTGCCGTGTAAACAATGACATTTCTAACCACACCCTGCAAAATACAGTGTAGTTAGCAAATGCTGCAGCTTCTGAGAATGGGGGGGGGGGGCTGGAGTTACTACTAAGAGCAGAGACGTTACCGAGAACAAATTCCGGCTTGAATGTCATGTACACTAATACTGACACGTTCCTTGATAAGAGAGAGGAGTTTGAAACACTATACTGAAGGTACACCAACCCGATATTGTAGGAGTTGTAGAACTGTTGTACAAGAACAGGAGAATCGACCCAGAGGAATGCGAGTTCAGTATTGATGGATATGACTTATTTACGAACCTTTCTCAAGAAACTTGCAAGAGGGGTGTGGTTATCTATGCTAGGCAAGACCTTAGGGCCAGCAAGGCAATGGTACAGGGAGAGGATGTTTTTGAAGAGTCCAAGTGGTGTAAAATTAAATTAAAGGGAGGAGACTTACTTATCATCGGGTGTATCTACAGATCCCCAAACTGTGGACCACTACAGTAAATCAAAGGAACTTAAGAGCCTTAATAGACAACGCGTCGATGCTCAACCCTAGCCACCTCCTCATCATAGGGGACTTTAACTACGGCGACATCGACTGGAGAAACGAGTTCACCCCAAGTGACTTGAATAACCCTGCTACTCTTTTTGTAGAAACTCTGAGAGATAATTTTCTGTTCTAACATGTTAGAGACCCGACACATTACAGAGGGAAGCAAACACCCAAGCTACTAGACTTCATCATAACAAACGAGAAGGGTATGGTGGCCAAATTGGAACACTTTGCCCCAGTTGGCACCAGTCACCATATAGTGTTGTCATTCAGATTTAACTGTTACCTAGTTAAAGATAAGGCCAGACCAAGGTGCAAATATTACAAGGGAAATTACAATGGGATGAGGGAAGAGATGAGGGGTATCCACTGGCCTGACTCATTAAGGCACAAGAACGCAGACACGCTGAATATCATAACTAGTAAAGTGACCCATTTGATAGATAAATATATACCCAAGATCAAACCCAGTGCCTCTAGGAATACGAGGGGATCCCTACACATGAACCATGCAGCGGTCGACAAAGTTAAGAAGAAAACCCAGAAATTCAAGACATGGGTTGGGTCAAACGATGAGCAGGACAGGAGGATGTATGCATGAGTCAGAAACCAAGCTAAGGTAAAGTGTAAAAGGGCTGAAAAGGAGTTCCAGAGGCTGGTTGCAAGTGAGGTCAAGTCAAACCCAAAGGCGTTTTACCGCTATGCAAAGTCGAAATTAAAAATGCGAGTTGGAGTATCAGACCTGAGGCTTGAAGATGGTAGTTACGCAGACTCTGACCAGGATAAAGCTGAGGCATTGAACAGCTTCTTTTCCTCGGTGTTCACAAGAGAGGATGCGATTAACCTTCCTGCATTTGAGGACAGACTGTTCGACACAGCACTGACCCACATTGTGTTCACAGAAGAGGGTATTAGAAATAAACTGTCAAAGCTAAAGGTCCATAAGAGTCCCGGCCCTGACATGGTGCATCCCAGAGTGCTAAGAAAGTTGTGCAACGAGCTTGCTGAGCCCCTGAAGATCCTGTTTTGTAAATGCCTGGATGAACAAGTCCCCAGTGATTGGAAAGTGGCTTATGTGAGTCCTGTCTTCAAGAAGGGCGATCGTCACTCCATGAACAACTATAGACCGGTGAGCCTGACCAGCACAATATGTAAAGTACTTGAGAGTATTATCTGAGATGCCGCGATGGAACATCTACTGTACTATGAAACAACCTTGTAAAGGATTGCCAACACGGTTTTATGCCGGGGCGCTCCTGCTTAACACAATTGCTCAAGGTATTGGATATTTGGACCCATATTCTGGAACAGGGTGGTAATAACGACAATATATACCTAGGTTTTGCCAAGGCTTTCGACTGTGCCCCACGAAAGGCTGAAAATCAAACTGAAAGGGTACGGAATTCGGGGAAATGTCCTAGCGTGGATAGAAGATTTTCTACATGACCGCAAGCTGTGTGTGGTGATTAATGGCACGAAATCATCATCTGTATCTGTCACAAGCAGGGTACCACAGTGCAGTGTTTGGGCCTGCTGCTGTTTGTTTCACAAATGACATGCCTGACATTGTACACTCCTCCATACAAATGTTTGCCGATGACGCCAAGTTATTTCGGGAAATCAAGAACCATGCGAACTGTGAAGAGCCGCAGAAGGATCTCTGTTGAAGAAATGGCTGCTTAGATCCAATGTCACGAAGTGCAAGAGGATGCACCTGGGGCGTACCAACAGTAAGGAGGCGTATCACATGTTCCAACAGGAAGAAGAAACTGCATTATTTATGACTGAATGTGAGAAGGACCTATCGTGTGTATGCTGACAATGAGTTGAAGTTCTCAGGCCATTGTGAGAAGGTAAATCAGGCAAATAAATTATTGGGTCTTATAAGGTCGTTCAGATATCTAGACGGTCCGTCCCTCGTAACGATCTTGAAGAGTGAAGTGCTTCCCCATCTGGAGTGTTGTCACCCCGTCTCGGCCCCGAGATATGCTAGGGACTGTCAGTTGGTTGAAAATGTTCAAAGGAGGGCCACCAGACTGGTGCCTGCACTTCGGCACCTCAACTACCCTGAGAGATTGGAGCGCCTGAACTTGCCTAGCTTATACTACAGACGGGCAAGGGGCAACCTAATTGAGGTGTATAAGCATCTCAAGGGGCACTTCTCAGTCGAGTTTCCTTATTTGGAGCTGGCGGACGCTCGCCCCACAAGGGGTCACAGCTCAAGATTGAAGAAGCCGCAGGTCCAGAAAATTGTGAGGGCAAACTTTTTCAGAGTGAGAGTTGTGAACTTTTGGAACAATCTACCAGAAAGTGTTGTAACGGCACCGAGCGTGAGCTCTTTCAAGACCAGACTTGACCAACGCTGGAGCAGGTTCAGGTACATTCAGGAGCCGGTGCATGCCCAGTACTTGCCAACAGTGCATAACAGAGAAGTGACCGATCGCCCAAGCGGCTAACGAGCCGATCAGTGGTGAAGAGGATAAAAAGGAATAATGGAAAAACATAAACACAGTTACAAGTATTTAGAAAAAATTTTTACAAGTAAATAAAAAAAATTATATTTTGCTGCCGTCGACAACATCCGCATTGCCAGCCTCTCCCTATTGTCCCGGCGTCTGCCCTCCCTCACGCAGGCAGCCAGCCAGTCCTTTCCCACCTACATTCCTTGACTTGAAGACTTGTATTCTGACAAAAGACACAAATAAATTGTCAGTCTTTATCACATCTCGAGCCATAGCTCATACCTGCTCCGAGCTTGTCCAATAAAACTGTTTTTTCCTTTAAGGCCATCACTATTCTTGATCTCTTGGTCACTTTAGAGTCTTTGCTAGTAATATTTGCCTTTGATGAGGCTGGCTTACGTCCCAGAGCCATGTGGAATGCATGTGGGAGGACAAACAGAAGAGGTAATCACAGTAGCGTTCACAGTACGGTAGGCACATGTGGACTGAGGCTTCTCAGAGCAGAGGGTGTCTGAGGCGGGAAAGGGTGGCGTCTGTTTGCCGCACCACACAGGAGAATATTGAAAATGGCGTCAAATTTTAATTTTTGTTTTTAAAGGATATTTTATACTACACAGTACTGTATACTGTATATAACTTTTGAGTAAAAAAACCGTGAATGGTCAAAACCGCGATAAAAAACCCCCAAAAAACACGGGATTACTGTACCATGTTTATTAGGTGTTGTAAACAAATATCGGAGGCTGTGACCATCATAAAACTGATCTTAGCCATTGCATAGCAATAAATGGTGTTAATTTTTTAACATCCTAAAACTGATCAATTGTATATTGATCTATTGTATAACGATCAACACATGTAATGCCAGAAAGGGGATTTCAGGATCAACCTTCAATTTTTGGTGGAAGCTAACCTGCATGGAGATAACCATCACCTTTGCCACTATAATTACTATACCCTGTATAGTCAAGGCAAAGTTAATTACTCTGGCCATACCAGCATTCAAATTGTGATTAAGACATCAAGTTTGGATTTATATTATACAGCTCCTCCCCGACTTACGACAGAGTTAGGGACCCAAATCCAGGTCATAAGTCGAAAATGCTTAAATAATACATAGAAAATCTAAAATGGGTCTCTTTTCTTCTCAGCACCACAAAACTCTCACTTTTAAGCTTGCCAGCCATTTTAAAGTGAATTACAAACGAAAATTGTGTCGGTACACAGTGCAATCACTGACGTTGGGACTCAAAAATACGTAATTTGACAAAATTTTGGTACGACTGAGGCAGGTCGTAAGTGCGGGTGGATGTAAGTCGGGGAGGAGCTGTATAAGGTTATATTAAGTCATGACCAGATCTAGTTAGTTAATGACTTATAAATTAAATTCCTGTCAAATGAGCCTTGACTGGATTTGAAAAAAAATTGTATAATTAAATGATTGAACTGATATTAATAACCGAATTTTTAAGAAGAAAATGACAATTTTCAAATAAACAAAGACTAGTTGGACTAAAACTTAATCAAGTATTATTTAAGTGATAATGGGATGTTCATTTCACTTAGAGATCTAAATGAGGTTAGATAAATCAATTCATTAATAAAACTATGCTCTTTAACAAGAAAACAACTTCAAATTTAATAAATTTATTTATCCACATTTTTGCCAGATTGTATTCATTCTAACCATATTGGCATGTGTAGTGTCAAAGGTGGTGGTACTCTGCTGGAGTGATCACCTCTAGCAGAAATAATTTGTGTGGTCTGTGTTTATTGTGAATAATCTCTGTTTTTACGTGGTTTTTATTCTACTAAATTATTAGGCCATCAACAACTAACTTGATTGGCATACACCATGTCTGGTGCATCACAATACCAGTTTCAACTCCGTCCTACCATTTTAGACTTTTCTAGTTCCTTATGAAGTAAACTCCTTACAGTGGCAAACAGGCACTTTTTTCTCTCTTTAAAAAAATCTTGAGTCAAGTCATGTGTGCAGAAGTTACCAAATTGGAATAAAATAAGTTATTTGCATGAATGACTTAGATACGAATAACTCTTATATACAGTACAGTAATTAAGTTTTAAAGCTGATTAATCTTGAGTCATGTGACTTTAAGAGAAGGATCTATTTTTCAAATGTAAATAAAACACATGTCACCAATTTTAATATTCCAGGCAGAGACCCCAATGCGGCGATTTATTGCATACATTGACCCAGACAACAAGTTTACTGAGGAAGACAAGCTGTCTCAGGTGAACACACTTCAGCAGCTACAGAACATAGCCAGCTACAACTTCATGCGTGAGGGATTGTCACGTGGCCGAGTGTACATTCACGCTTTATGGTTTGATATTTATACGGGAGACATTTATTATTTTAGCCGTCAACAGAAAATGTTTGTTGATGTGAATGAAAACAATATGGAGAAACTAGAAGAGGAAGTACTTAGGTATTACACCTAATATTTTGTACTGTATATACATATACTTTATAAACAGTGAAATCCTTCGGATCTGAAATACTTTGGGACTAAGGGATTCTGTTGGGGTGAATACTGATAATCTATTGAAAATAGGCTCCTTAATGTAAACCAACCACACAAATGTCTATGTATTCTTCATACAGTTAACAGTATCATAAATACCTGTACAGGAGGTACCCTGACTTGCGAACGGGGTTAAACTTGAATATGAACAGCCGCCGATACGAATGGGGTTAAACTTTAAATTTACAGTACAGTCGGCCCTGAACATACGCGGGGGTTACGTAACAGAGATACCCGTGGATGTTAAAAATCCGCGTATATGTGCTGCCCCCCCCCCCCAAAAAAACTTGGTCCTCCCATGTCCTTATTTACCGTATATACCTGTGTGTAGTTCAAGTTTTTAAGACCAAATTATTTGGCAAAAAATGGGGGTCGACCTCTAAACGGGTAATAGTTTCGTTAGGTTAAAAAATATTTACCAGTAACTACCAGTAAACAATGGAAATGACACACCAACACACCACCAGCTGTGAGTGTCGGTACAGTTGCTAGGGCAGATCTCTTGCGTCATCATAGCAAGCCCAAAGTAGCCAAATGCATGGTATGGTATGCACAGGACGATGTAAAACATAAAGTATTCATTTTTTAAAGTTTATTTATAGATACTGTACATAAATTTTTGTTCATTACATTTGAAACATCAATCTTCGTTAATTAAATTTGAAACAAAAGAAAACTACGATACCGTATTTCTAAATACCTGGTATTTTCATTAAAATATTACATCACAAGTATATTTTACCTTAACTGTGACTGAATGAATATAGGTATTCTCAGAAATAAATATGGAAATATAATATTTTTGCTGGAATGACGTACATATTACAGTGGAAACACGAAAACAATGACTTTCGCTTTCTTTCGTTATTCAAAAGATTTTACCGTAATCGCTTTTCGAATGGTTTTCAGTTAAAAAACTGTTGTACTCGTACTGTATTACAATAATATTCTATCCTATCATTAGCCTTATAATCCCACAACTGAAAACCATTCGAAAAGCGATTACGGTAACATCTTTTGAACGAAAGAAAGAGAAAGTCATTGCTTTCGTCACAATTTTATCCCACTTTCCACTGTAATACGTACATCATTTCAGCAAAAATATTACATTTCCATGTTCTCAGAAATAAATGGTAGTTTTGTTGAAACGTAATGTACAATATTTAATATTAAAATGCAAAAATAGCTATAAAAACAATTAATACACCCGTAATGTACTGGCTGGCATCTCCACTCGTCCCTGCTCCCGCGTCCAAGGTCACCACTCCTCCCAACTCGCTCCCTCCGCTTCCTCCTCTACCTCCTCCACCTCCTCCACCCCCTCTGCCTCCTCCTCGTCACTACTGCCGACAACGAACACAAATGTTTTGTGAATAACTGCACCTCCACTTCCTATGTACAGTACTGAACTGTACTGTGCTGTGCATTTTTACAAACAATAAACATGGCAAGATAAGCTATTAAAAAAAAAGAGATAAAAATTTCACTTTACTGTACAGTACCTATCCTCGGCGACAGGACTGGGGTCATCGGGCTCATCGTCACTCAATTCCATAACGGATGGTGAAGTGGGGGCGACGGTGGATTCAGCTGCTTCCTCACTGCCGCCAGTGATTGATGGTGTTAAATCTCTCCTTCGGTGATCAAAGAACATGGTGATGGGGAGTTGTCGTCTCTTTCTTTCATTTCTTTCATGATGTTTTTGTATGGAGCGAAAACGTCATCCATCCCTCGCATGAATTTCAGGGCACGCACCATGGAGGGGTCCATACTATAGGCCAGGTTTTTCAGTGCCTCAATATTCCTGGTCATCTCCCCCAACTTCTCCAACGTTATTTCTTGGTGCTCTTCCTCATCCTCTTTCCCTTTTGCTTCCTCTTCCTTGCCTGAGTCTACTAACTCCTGTAGATCCTCCTCGGTCAGCTCAGTGTCGTGCTCTTCAATTAGCTCCCTAATCTCGTCCTCTGCCATGTCCCGGAAGCCTTCAGCAGCCACTTTCCTTGACAGTGCCAGGGTCTTCCTGAATATTTTCATTAAAATCCATCAAAATCATTTTCCTTGTCATCGTCTAAAGCACCAAACAGCTCCTCCCAGTCTTCTCCTTGAACAGGACTAGAGGGTACGTGTTTTTCGAATCGTTTTCAATTAAAAAAATGTTACAGCACATGTATATTTTACCTAAACTGTGCCTGAATGAATATATTCTCAGAAATAAATAGTAGTTTTGCTGAAACGTGATGTATTTCAATGTAAAATAGGATAAAATACATGACGAAAACAAAAGACTTTACCTAACCTTCCAATGTTCAAGAGATGTTACTCGTTTTTTAATAGTTTTCGGTTAAAATACTGTTATATTACAATGATATATTCATACTGTGCTTGATATACTACATTCACGGAAATGTAATATTTTTGCTGAAATGACGTACGTATTACAGTGGAAAGTGACGAAAACAATGACTTTCGCTTTCTTTCGTTCAAAAGATGTTACCGTAATCGCTTTTCGAATGGTTTTCAGTTAAAAAAACTGTTGCATCACAAGTGAATTAGGATAGAATATTATTGTAATACAACAGTTTTTTAACTGAAAACCATTCGAAAAGCGATTACGGTAACATCTTTTGAACGAAAGAAAGCGAGTCATTGCTTTCGTCACTTTCCACTGTAATACGTACGTCATTTCAGCAAAATATTACATTTCCATATTCTCAGAAATAAATAGTAGTTTTGCTGAAACGTAATGCATTTCAATGTAAATTAGGATAAACTACATGAAAACAAAAGACCTTTACCTAGCCTTCCGATGTTCAAGTTATGTTACTCGTTTTTTTAGTAGTTTTCGGTTAAAATGCTCTTATATTAGTGATATTCTATTCATACTGTGCTTGATATAATACATTCACGGGAATGAAATATTTTTGCAACTACAATGCTGATGTCAACACAAGCGTGGTTACAGCGAGACTGACTGAGTGAGGGAGAGCTATACGTGTGTGTGTGAGGTTGCGGGAGCGGGCGGTGTCCCGTGTTCGGTGCCGCGCGCGAGTTGAATGGCGCGCGATTTGAATGTACTTCAATTACTTCAATATACTGTACAGAATATTCCTCCGGCGGGGCAATCCGTGTATTATAAACCCGCGTATGTTAAGGGCCGACTGTATCTTAATTACCTGATGGCTTATTTTTAACTTTCATTTATTGTATTTTGTCATTCTATTTCTTCTTTTGTCTTAAAGTGATTTTAGATGTACATAAGGACTTAAGCTATAATATAGAAGGATTTTAAACATTGTTCTGTAAGTATGGTATGCATATAGCATGTGTTCCAACTTACGAACGTCATCGGGAACGGAACCCATTCGTAACCCGGGGACCCCCTGTACTGAAAATTACGAAGTATGCTACTATACATTATATGAAGCACATTACAGGTTTAATGGATAAAATACACTACAGTACACTGTATTGCTTCACATTAGACTTACAGCACTTACCAGTCCTGTTGGCTGTAGAAGTAGAGGGAAGAAGACAGACGAGAACACCTTGACTACCCATCTCATCAACACACAATTTCACTGTGCAGTACTTCTGTAAAACCTTATACTGTACTGTATATATATTAACTTATGAAGAAGTACAGTAGATGTCCTGGAGGTGTAAAGGGCTACAATAACCCATGGAATTTTTTCAGATTCCTGTATTCATATCTCAGTATTTTTTTTTCTATTTAAAGGTTGTATTGTCATTTGGATTTAAAGGACTTAAGGTTATATATATATATATATATATATATATATATATATATATATATATATATATATATATATATATATATATATATATATATATATATATATATATATATATATATATATATATATATATATATATATATATATATATATATATATTTTTTTTTTTTTTTTTTTTTTTTAGATAAGCTCAAAATAATTTGAAGTATCCAGTATACCTTTTTCTTGTAGCGGTTGATGATGATTTGTAGTTAATTTTAAGTTGAAAAGGCACACTCTTTTCATTCCATTGTACATTTTACAGCTATATATATATAGTTTTGTACACTTGAAAGTCACACTTTATTTAAAACTTACCTGTGTTCATGTCCTGTCAGTCCTTTTTCTTCATAATGTAATCAGTGACAACACTGTCATTATGAACTGTAAACAGTGTACAGTAGTCACAAGACATAACATTATAGAAACTATAACGTCTCGACTTTATGTGCAAATTAAAATTTATAATCTACAAGAAAGATTAAGATAAATCAGTAAATTAGATACTGTATTGGTTTTGATGCTGTAGAAAGTACTTCATGTGCAGTGCCGGATTAAGCTTAATAGGGACCTGAGGCACAGATCAGCTTTGGGGCTCCCTACGCTAAAGGTATATAGTATAAATAACAAGAACAAAAAATAACCAAATTGATTGTTACTATTGTTTACTCAAAAATCAAAATGCACAACTATTGGTAACTTAAACAAACACTTTTCTAGCTTTCTTTCTAGAAAATTCATCAATGATATAATCAAAATTAAGCTTCCGCAAAATATCAGATTCAATGCTCATAAGAGACAGAAATTGGAGACGTGGCTGGGATATTGCTGAACGAAGCTCATTTTTTATAAGCTTCAACTTCAAGAAAGTTCGTTCTCCACTTGAATTAGACACCATTAATGACAGAAAAATTCTCAGCATGATCTCTGCATTCGGAAATGTTGATGACAGTCCTTTATCTTTGATAATACGATACATAAACAACTCATTTGATTCTTCTTGTGTTTTTTCATCTTGGCACAGTAAAACAAATTGTGAGAGTTGTACTAGTTCATCACCAAGCGATGCCTCAAAATCTTGAGAGTACACAGAGACAAGTTCCTGAGCACCTTTACGGATGGCTTCAGGACTGCTGTCATCTGAGCCAATTTTAGAAAAAAAATGGAATCTTTGACTCAGAAGTTGGTAGGCCTCTACACATTGATCTAATAAAGTAACAAGCTGATCCAAAATAGGAATATATGTGTTGACCTTAAACTTGTCCCATGGAGACAGAACCGTTTCATTAGCTGACGTGAATCCAGAATCATAGTCCAGTCTGCGATTTCGCTGCTGAACCCTCGTAACCTCAGACTGATAGTTATTCCTCTTCACCCCTGATTCTTCACATTCACCAAAATGATCTCGAAGAGACAAAACAAATGATTTCAATGACTTAAGGTCTTTGACAGCAGTATTCAAATCCATGCGGTCATCCTGTAAAGATTTGCTTGTAGCATTGAAACAAGTAAGAATGCAATCCCAAACTTCGGTCATGATTGCAGTCTCAAGCTTGGCAAACACATTTGCAAGTCCTTTTGCAGTAACCTGTTTCAGCATTTTGAGTGATGTCTTCACCAATGGTGCCAAGAACTTCCCATACACATTTATAGCCACACAGTAGAGCATGTGTAGCATCACACTGTGCAGACCAACGTGTATCTGCCAGCCGCTCAGCATACCTGAAAGTTTTTGCCATCTATTTGCTGAAGCTGAGAAAAAGACAGAGATTTTTTTAACAAAATCAAATTATTTGATTGCTCCAGTGCAGCAGTTCACAGCAGACTGTCCGACTAAGTTAAGAGAGTGTGCACAACATGGCACTAAGACTGCCAGAGGACTTACTTCACGTACTGCAGCTTGCATGCCATTATATACACCAGTCATGTTGGCAGCATTGTCATAGGTTTGCCCACGACAATTTGCAATATCAATTCCCAGACCTTTCAAGTATTCCAAGACTGTTTCAGCTAAACCACGTCCAGTGTGACCTTTGTTATCAAGGAATGTCAGAAACCTTTCAACCGGACTATATCCAGTCACATAGCGGATAATTATTGTTAGTTGGTCACAGTGGCTAATATCTGGTGTCGAATCAACGGAAAGGCTAAAGTATTTTGCTGAGAGAACTTCATCAACAATTGATTTCATCACCTCTGCACCCATTAATGACATTAATTCCTCGCATATTGTTGATGACAGATAAGACGTGTGCCCTTTACCCTTGTTTGCATGTGTCTTTATATGAGTTGACAAAAAAGGGTCATACTGAGCCAGTAGTTCGAGTATACCAAGGAAATTACCATTTTTGGAACAGCCAATTGTTTCATTTTCTCCCCGAAATGCTAATCCTCTCTCGGAAAGAAATACAATAACACTCGTAACTCGATGTACAACAGACTTACAGTACTTAAATTCATCATCAACTTGCTTTGCTAACTCATGGTCAATTCGACCTACTTTTCTTGTCCAGATGGTTAGTGATAGTAGTGAGTTTTTGTGACAGTGTGAAGTTTCGTGTGCAGATATAGTTTGAACACCATTTTTCCAGTCACAGAAACCAGAGGTGAAGCCATGATATTGATGATCAAAGTTTAAATCTCCAAATAACTTGCAAGCGAAACAGTAGATCTTTCATGTAGTTGGGGAGAAACAAAGCAATGATCTCTTAGCTTCTTCGCAGTTTATGCAGTGACGGTAGAACAATGATGATGTACAGCACCGAACTTTTTTACCGTCATGCTGTGGTACAGAATTTGTGTACTCTCTTTGTAGAAACTGGCAATCCTGGCTTCCTCTACAAGACCAGTAATCTTTCATTTCATCAGTTACTTTCTCTGGCCAGGTTCCAATATCATTACTGAATGAGATATCAGACAAAGTAACAGTACCTTCGAATAGTGGAGTGATGACAGGATCATTGGTTTCCACTGCAGATAGATCAGGGTCAGAGCTTTCATTGTCAACTGATTCTGGTAAAGATTTTACAGAACCAGAACCTTTTGCTGTTGCCCCTTCCTTCACCAAAAAATTTGTTATACGTGGAATCTTCCTGATCTCTTCATCCTGTCTGGCTTTTTTCTTGTGTTTTTCAGCTCCTCTTTGATATGAGTGCTTCATTCTTGTAATAGCAGCTAATCAAACCATTCACTGAAAAAAAATACCGGTAATTAACATAAATAACCTAACATGAATAACTTTTTAATAACAGCAATTGGCTGATATTAAAATAAATAAACATAATTATAAAGCACTAGCTGGAGAACCCGTACTATTATTCAAGTTACCACCAAATTTAATTTTCTTTGATGCGCTTTTCTCCCGTTTTCTTTAATCTTTCGGTACGGCATAATAACTTTAATTCAGTATATTTATCTAACTTTACTGTATTTCGAAAATCTCTGTGGCCTATGACACTCTTTGAGACATGCTGATTCCGAATATGGCTTTAGTTTTGTTCTCTAGTCCGTACTTCTCGAGTTCTAAGCTAGAAAAGCATGTAGCAAGCCATGCCAAGAGCACACAGCTTGTAAACATGTTTCCATATATTTGAATATTTTGTATAAAAATGCATCCTCACTTCGACTGAAAAGTTATAAAACCATTCATAACTTATTACTGAAGTTATATACATAATTGTTTACATGAAATGGTCCTCCAATACTAAAGTCAGGCACCGTACCGTCCGTACGTCACAATGGAGTCCCGGAACAGCCGAGTGTCGTCAGCTACTGTTGTCGAAGATTAACAGTTGCCACACGCCACTACCGAGTCACTAAAATGTATATGTATGATCCAATTGGACACATTAAAAACGAAATAGTTAATGGCTTACTTACTAATTGACCATTTAATGGCATATATTGCTAAATATTTTTATCCTTAGAATCTGGGGGCCTGAGGCCAGTGCCTCAAGTGCCTCATGGTTAATCCGGCCCTGTTCATTTGGCAGCATCATCAAAGGCTCGCACCTTGAACTCTTGTGCATTTTGTATATCTTTGTTAAATTACTCTAACATTAACAAAGTTCATTGATGGTAATGGCCACTTCACCCATAAGTTTGATATGAGAATTAAGAATACAGACAGTAATTTTACTTGTTTGAGATGAAGAGACAGTAGAGGTGAGATATATCTGAAAAAATGATGTGAACCCTGTCATTTGTAGGCACCAGTTATAAAACATGTAGTACCTGTACGTTAGAAACATGGAGAAAGTGAGGGACAGATTGAAACCTGAGAGCCCTAGTATTTGTGTCTTACCAGTAAATATTATTACTGGTAATCCTGTTTCAGTATCGGTAAGGTGACAACTGCCATTAACTCAGGGATAAGAGAAATGTATTTTACCATGAACTACTTAAATAATTCAAACTTTGGGAATGACAAAAATACATTTATCGAAATGTAACCAGCTAGGAATATCATTCGCAATATTTTTCTTTGAGAGAAATGCAAGCCAACACCACAAAGCCCCAGAATTTCATGTACCAACTCACTCCTCCCACCAAGATTGATTTAAACTGCCTTGTCCCATAGACTTCATCCATAGGTCTGTCTTCCAGTGATTACATTCCAAGCTAACAGGTTTACAGTTGAAATATTTTATACCATTACTGACCACCATCCAGTTGAGCAGCAAGTGCACAGTATATGAAGTAAGTCTAATTAAATTACATTGCCTGTGCAATCCCAAAACTTGAATTCACTTTTCAGGTGCTAGTCATAACTCACAAATTCTAAGATAGTAAAACATGACAATATTAAACTTTTGTAGGGCAGGGGTTTCTCTCAGCTGAGTAAAAGTATAATAACCTGTATGTAGGTATACTGTATTTATAAATTTTATATGCATATTATTATGTTTTCTGTAATCTGTGTTTCTTTACATTATTTTATTTTATTTTGTTGGCCTTATTTTTATCACTTGCCTTGAGAGCTGCCCATGATAGGTATAACATGGCATGAAGAGTAAAAAAAAAAAATACAGTATATTTGTGGATGGTAGATTTGTACAGAGTGTAGTGTTCTGCAATGCTTCTTTATGGTTCTCCTTTCAATAATTTTATGATTAAACAATTTACTGTTCGAGCTAATTGATTGCAAATTATAATTGATATGAAAAAATAAGGGTTTTAATTAGTTAATTTGTGAGTTACACCTGATAATACCTTGATTTGAATGTTCATGAAGTTATGGACAAGGAATGTAGATTGAAAAGTATTTGTTCCTTAAAATTTGATTATTTGTATAGTACTTAATAAAACAGGTAATACTTGTATAGAAAATAATAGGCAGTTTTTCAGTGGGAGAGATGGCTTCTTCCCCGATGAAGAAGTTGGTGACAGTCAACACTGGCATTTAAGGACCCACATTTGTATTTACCCTGGTACCACTCAACACAACCCTCAAATGTATTATAGCATGAAATAAATGCAGTATATATTTTTTATATCTTGTTTTATTACTCAAACTTTTAAGTACTATATACAGGGGGCTCCCCAAGTTCACATTTTTTTTTATTTGGGGTCCTCTATTATTTTTGGATGACACCCTGGATGTATCCAAGAATGTCTGTGGGTAGTTTTAAAGTTGCTGGCATTTTCGCGGCTGGGACAGGAAGCCATTCGTTCTAGAGACTAATTTCCTTTACCTGTATTGTATATACTGTATATGTGTGTGTGTGTGTGTATATACACACACACACATACAAATAAATAATAATTGGAAAATACTGTACTCTCACAAATAATCAGAAACAAATTTATTAAAAATTTGTCAGTCTACCCTCAAGTCCGTGCTTCATTACTTTATTAATAAAGCACGGACTTGAGCGTAGACTCACATTTGTAATAAATTTGTTTCTGATTATTTGTGAGAGTACAGTATTTTCCAATTATTATTTATTTGTATGTGTTTTTTGTGTGTGTGTCTACACAGACACACATATATACAATACAGGTAAAAGAAATAATTGTCCTAAGGGCAAACACATTAAGGGAATATACATACCTTTGTACACAAGTAAAAATGTCCCCCCCCCCCTCCCAAGTCAGCAAACGTTATTCATGGATTTGGCGACTCGCAGCCATTTTGAGAACCTAACCCCCACGAATTTGGGGGGGCCCCCTGTACTATACAGTACTACAGTATATTTTTTGAATTACTGTACAAACAATTTTAAAATAAAGCACTGTACCTGTGACATGATCATAAGCATCCCTATTTGCTCTCTCAACCTTTTTCCATACAGGATACTGTATATGAGACCAACCAATCACAGCAAGTCTTACTGAGTTTGTCCCCTAAGAGCCAATCAGTGAGCATCATGCAGACTGCATCAGTTTTTGAGCAGGTAGAGTTTCTTTACATGTTCTCTCAGTTGTACAGTTTGCTTGCTGCATATCATTCATGTATTTCAGTCAATTTTTTAGTAAAACTAGTGGCTATTTCTGTGAAACTATGGTCCTAATAATAAAAGTGAGAAAAAGCATCGGGAAAATTTTTTGTTAGAAGTGAAAGAGTATTAAATAGAATGGGTATTGTTATCACAGCAGTTGGACACAAGTTTGATCTCGGTGAATCTTCATTGAAAACAGTTATGAAGAATATGGAGAAAGCACATGCAACAGTAGAGATATTTATTGTATTTACTGTATTAAAATTATGTATTATGTGTGTAATAGAGAGTCTTTATTTATTTTGTAAATTTAGTGATATTAAAGGTAAAATACATACACATTATAGATTTTTAAGGTTGTGTGGTGAGTCAGGAAAGTGAACACAAGTTTTTACTTAACATGCGTACCGTTTATGAGAAATGCATCTTCTGCACTAAGCAAGGTCCCCCTGTAGTTTGTTTAAAAATAAATGAAAAATATAAATCAGTAAGTTTTGAGGAGGGTCTATACTTTACTTTTATCCTCTTTACCACTGATCTGCTCGTTAGCCGCTTGGGTGATCAGTCACGTCTCTGTTACGCACTGTTGGCAAATACTGGGCATGCACCGGCTCCTGAATGTACCTGAACCCGCTCCAGTGTTGGTCAAGTCTTGTCTTGAAAGAGCTCACACTCGGTGCCGTCACAACACTCTCTGGTACATTGTTCCAAGAGTTTACAACCCTCACTCTGAAAAAATTTGCCCTTACAGTTTTCTGGACTTGCGGCTTCTTCAATCTTGAGCTGTGACCCCTTGTGGGGCGAGCGTCCGCCAGCTCCAAGTAAGGACACTCGACTGAGTAGTGCCCCTTGAGATGCTTATACACCTCAATTAGGTCACCCCTTGCCCGTCTGTAGTATAAGCTAGGCAAGTTCAGGCGCTCCAATCTCTCAGGGTAGCTGAGGTGCCGAAGTGCAGGCACCAGTCTGGTGGCCCTCCTTTGAACATTTTCATCCAACTGACAGTCCCTAGCATATCTCGGGGACCAGACGGGGTGATAGTACTCCAGATGGGGAAGCACTTCACTCTTGAAGATCGTTACGAAGGACGGACCGTCGAGATATCTGAATGACCTTCTTATAAGACCCAATAATTTATTTGCCTGATTTACCTTCCTCTCACAATGGCCCAAGAACTTCAGCTCATTGTCAACATACACACCTAGGTCCTTCTCACATTGTCTCAAATAGTGCAGTTTCTTCATTCCGTTGGGACATATGATACGCCTCCTTACCGTTGGTACGCCCCAGGTGCATCCTCTTACACTTCGTGACATTGAATCTCAGCAGCCATTTCTTCGACCATTGTCATTGGTTGAAAATTAATGTGTGATCATTTCACATTTGAGGATCATTCCATAAACAGTACTGTATTCATAAATGCTATACAGTCACCTGTTAACTGTTTCTGAAAGGGCTAAAAATCCTACCATACTGCACTGTATATCCAGTTGTTGCTCTTGAGAAGTGGTTTAAGGGGCAGTTCAAATATTGTTCTCATTATTATGTAGACATTTATGAAAATCAGCAAAGTTGAAGCTCAATTTTTTTTCAATAAGTTTTCGGTTTTTGCAGATATGATATAAATGTATAATGCATTGTGTTTGTTTTATCAACCTTTGATATGATCGTTTTGTGGTTGAAGAAACCTTTGGAAGAATATTAGGTACACCCAAACAGAAATGAGGTTTTCAAGATTGTGGAGATATATCATAGGCCTGTAAACTCTTCAACCATGATTCAAATTTTTTTTTTTATAGATACTTAATTACTTGTGTAAAAAAAGAAAAGTCTACTGGGTAACAATATATACAGGTATAGGAATGATGGTGTAAGTTACAAGTATACCTAGCTATATGTTGCCTTACTATACAATTTTTCACTTATACAGTGGTCCCTCGGTTAACGAGCACAATCCGTTCCAGCAGGTTGCTCGTTAACCGAAAAGCTCGTTAACCGAAACCATTGTTTCAATGGGTTTTTGGGTAATTGGTTCCAACTCACCGAAAATTGCCTAAATTCAACAAAAAAGGTAGAAAAGTATACTTACTTTGAGGTGTGTATGTAGAAGGCTCCTGGATGATGATGATAATGATGGGAATTAGAATGGGGGTGGAGAAGGGAGAAGAGAAGGCATTGGGGTGGAAGAGGAGTCACCCCATGGCACCATTTCACCCATAGAATTTTAGTTCTCTTGGTGTAATTCAAGATTATTTTCTTTAAATCAATACTGCACCGCATTATATATTGTCAATATGTAAAATAAATTTCAAAATGACCAATAATTTGCTTGGAAACACAGAAAAAAAGCGTTTAGTTAAAGAGAGTCTCAAGCCAGATGTTACCTCCACTGAAAACAGAGAGAGAGACTAATGCCTGTCTGGTGTGTTAAGAGGCTGGATGGCACGCCAGAAACTAGTTTCTTTACCTTCAATTATGTTCAATAATTGTTAAAATGACTAAAAAATTTAATATTAAACTTTTAAAATTATTGAATAGTATAAACTTCTTGATATTTACTAAAATAGTAAGGAATTTAAGCCCTAAAACCGATTACTGTATTGGTGGACTAATACTGCAGCTGGTGGACCGCCAAATGCAAGCGAAAACATGTTGAAGTCGGCTCGTAAAAAACTCGTTAATCGAGGGATTGCTCGTTAACCGAAGTTAAGAATCTTATGGAAGGTAAATCGTTAACCGAGGCGCTCGTTAACCGAGGGATCACTTATTGTTGATGAATTTGAGTTATTTATTTTTTCTAAAAATAAAAATCATGCAACAGCAGTGGACTACATTGGGTAGCCTTAAAATGTTGAATTCCTTCACTGCATCCCCTCCCCAGTGTCAATTTATACTTTGCTGTTACATTTGCTTGATATCGTCTGTTTACAGTAAGTAAAACCTAACCAAAACCCTGTAAAATGAGTGGAAATTGCCCAGCAAGTGATGTGTACCTCTGGTAAGAAAACACAAGAAAAAGTATTACTCAATAGGGAAAATTATGTTTTGAGGCTGGTGGATAAACTGTTGACATCGACAGAGTGCTTGGCCTGCCCACTACCTGTGAGTGTGACCCAGAAAATGCAGCTCTACTGTTGACAAGTTGATAACTAATGACAGTAACTGGTACAAAGAACTGTACAAACAGAAGAAGAAAGCTGTCAAGCAATCTTTCGGCCAACAGTTTCACCTTAGGATCATCTGTTTCACCCCAGGAATAAGTTTCACCCCAGGGTTAACAGTTCCCCCAGGACTAAAATTTTCACCCCAGGACTAACAGTTTCACCCCAGGGTTAACAGTTTCACCACAGGGTTAACAGTTTCAGCCCAGGACTAACAGCTTCACCCCAGGTCTAAAAGTTTCACCCCAGGACTAACAGTTTCACCCCAGGGTTAACAGTTTTACCACAGGGTTAACAGTTTCACCACAGGGTTAACAGTTTCACCCCAGGACTAACAGTTTCACCCCAGGGTTAACAGTTTCACCACAGGGTTAACAGTTTCACCACAGGGTTAACAGTTTCAGCCCAGGACTAACAGCTTCACCCCAGGACTAAAATTTTCACCCCAGGACTACACAGTTTCACCACAGGGTTAACAGTTTCAGCCCAGGACTAACAGCTTCACCCCAGGTCTAAAAGTTTCACCCCAGGACTAACAGTTTCACCCCAGGGTTAACAGTTTCACCACAGGGTTAACAGTTTCACCATAGGGTTAACAGTTTCACCCCAGGACTAACAGTGACTCCAGGGTTAACAGTTTCATCCCAGGTCTAAAAGTTTCACCCCAGGACTAACAGTCACCCCAGGGTTAACAGTTTCATCCCAGGTCTAAAAGTTTCATCCCAGGTCTAAAAGTTTCATCCCAGGACTAACAGTCACCCCAGGGTTAACAGTTTCACCCCAGGGTTAACAGTTTCACCTCAGGGTTAAGTTTCATCCCAGGTCTAAAAGTTTCACCCCAGGACTAGCAGTCACCCCAGGGTTAACAGTTTCACCCCAGGTCTAAAAGTTTCACCCTAGGACTAACAATTTTACCCTACGTCTAAAAGCTTCATCATAAGAATGTTTCACCCCACACTTCAAAATTTCATGCTTGGACTAACAGTTTCACCCAACGACTTAATTTTTCACCTTAGAACTAAGTTTCACCTCAGGAGTAAAACGTGTCAACCCAGGTCTAACAGTTTTACCCCAGGTCTAAAAGTTTCACCCTAAGAATAAGTTTCATCATAGGTCTAAAAGTTTTACCATGGGACAAAGTTTTACACCAGGAGTAATAGTTTCACCCCGGGACTTACTGTATAGTTTAATGCCGGAAATAAAGGTTTCACACCAGGAATAAGTTTCACCCCACATTTAAAAGTTTCATGCAAGGACTAGCAGTTTCACCTCAGGACTAAAAAGTTTCATCCCAGGTTTAAAAGTTTTATAGGAATGAGATTCATCCCAGGTCTAAAGTTTCATCCATAGGTCTAAGAGATTCATCTTAGGACTAACATGTTTCACCCCAGGGCTAAAAGTTTCACTAGAAATAAGTTTCACACTACATATATCTCATCCCAGGAATAAAATTTTCAATCCAGAAATATTTCTCCCCAAGTCAAAAACTTTCACCCAAGGAATGACCAATACCTTTATCCTCTTCGCCACTGATGGGCTGTTAGCTGCTCGAGTGTTCGGTCATGTCTCTACTACTCACTGGTTCCAGAATCTATCTGAACCTGCGCCAGTGTTGGTCAAGTCTGGTCTTAAATGACCTTACACTCGGTGCCGTTTTTGGGATGTTGGTTCACACTCAGGATGGGTTGGAGAAAGGAAACTCACAATGCACTCTGTATATATATTGTATTGGATGTACAGTGCAGCTTGGTGGTGGGAAGTGGCAGCGTGGTTACAAGCGTGGAGTGGTGAGGAGCTTGCTCGGAGGTGTTGCTTGCTGCGTGGCTGTAGGTAGAAGAGGCGAGGTGAGGTCTTATATAGCGGAGGTAGGCGTGGCTTGATAGTTGACCTGCGCTTTGTCAGACGTCGCTAGTAGCCGACCTTAGACCACGAGGCATTGGCTGGGTAACCCGAAAAGGGATCGGCTAGTGCGACAAACGGCAGTTGTAGTTGTAGGGGAAATTTCCACTACATCGTCACAACACTCTAGAAGATTTTTCCAAGAGTTCATAACTTTCACTTCAAAAATTTTTGCCCTGCCCTGGCAATTTTGAATTTGTGGCTTCTTCAACCTTAAGGCCCATTTCCACTTGAGAGCGGACTCTCAATAGTTCCTGTCGATAGTTCTCTCATCTGTGTATTCACATGAGAGCAAACTTGTGCGAGTTTCAGCTGTCGGAGAGAACTCTCAGTGGTGTGTCCACCTGACTAGTGCTACACTCTATAGTGACTCTCAGTCAGTCGGTAGCAATGGGTGGTAGAGGAGGTGACAGAAAATTTGCTGCAGCAGTTATAGTTAAGCTGATGCTGGAGAAGAAAAAGCAAAAACAGAAAAGGTGTTGGATAAAGGACTGGGTGGAATGACAAGGTGAACAATCATCTCTCGATGACTAAACTCGCCTATATTAGTGTGAGGTAAGTTATCAAAATGCATTGGTATGTTTAATGCAGCACATATTTTTGTCATTAGTAGTATTCAAAGAAGTCTTTGGCTTTGCATTATAGTATTTCTGTTGTTTCAGTCATTAACACATTTTTGATGATGTGAATAAACAAATGCCATACCTGGTTTCTTAAATTGTGGAATTTCTAAGAATTTCCGACTCCGTGATATCAGTTTTCTTACTTATGTCGGATATGACTTAGGATTTCTTCTCTCTGTTGCAGTAGTCTTCCCTCTTGTGATCCCACAAATTAGGATTTTCTTTATACAAGGATATCAACTGAAAAGTCTTCTCTTGAGTCCAGAGCGCCATGCTTCACCTCTCGAGAGCACTGTCAGACTGCGAACCTGGTTCATATTTCGTATAGCTGAGAGTTGACGTGACAGTTGCGGGCTACAAATGTGTCCACACGATAGCAAACTAGCAGAGAGTAGCTGTCCGACAGTAAACTCAAACTATCTGACAGTTACTCTCAGAGTCAATCTACCAGAAAGTGTTGTGACGGCGCCGAGCGTGAGCTCTTTCAAGAGAAGACTTGACCAACACTGGAGCGAGTTCAGGTACATTCAGTAGCAGGTGCATGCCCAGTACTTGCCAACAGTGCGTGACAGAGACGTAACCGATCGCCCAAGCGGCTAACGAGCCGATCTTTTGGTGAAGAGGATAAAAGAAAAGGAAAAATAATCAGAGACGTGACCGATCGCCCAAGCGGCTAACGAGATCAGTGGTGAAGAGGATAAAACGAGAGCCATATCCACTTGATAGTAACGCTGTCGACAGCACTCTCGACAGCAATTTACTCTCAAATGGACACGGGCCCTTAGGCTCTGACCTTTAGTGGGGCGGACGCTAGTTCCAGGAATGAACACTCGACTCATCGACTGAGTGTTTATAAACTTTTTTTAAGTCACCCTTGGGCCCTTGCTCGCATTACTTTTTAATTTTATCCTGCTGCCATGTGGCATCACAAAAATTTTGACCAAGTCCCTGGTTGCTGATCTGACTTTCTGCCTCATTTACACACAATTGCAAAGTCTCAATTGTTTCTCTTACGTTGACAACACAACATACATAATTATATCGTTTCTCTCTCTTGATTTTTTTTGTATTTATGGTTTTTTATCATTATTATTATTTTATTGTTTGTATTTTAATTTGTACAAATATTTTATAAAATTTATTATGTTTTTTTTAATTATTATTATTATTATTATTATTATTATTATTATTATTATTATTATTATTATTATTATTATTATTATTATTACATTTTCGCCCCTCAGGCCCCGATGTGGGCTAATCCCTGTAAAAAAAAATCCTCTTCGCCACTAATCGGCTTGTTAGCCGCTTGGGCGGTTGGTCACGTCTCTGTTACGTACTGTTTGGCCTGTACCTGCGCCAGTGTTGGTCAAGTCTGGTGTTGAAGGACCTCACACTCAATAGTATAAGCTAGGTAACTGTTGGCGTTTTAATCTCTCTGGGTACCTGAGGTGCCGTAGTGCAGGCACCAGTCTGGTGGCCCTCCTTTGGACATTTTCAATCAACGGAGTTTCTCTCGCAGTGGTCACTTTTTACTTTTACCTTTATCCTCTTCACCACTGATCGGCTCGTTAGCAGCTTGGGCGGTCGGTTACGTCTCTGTCACGCACTGATGGCAAGTACTGGGCATGCACCGGCTCCTGAATGTACCTGAACCTGCTCCAGTGTTGGTCAAGTCTTGTCTTGAAAGAGCTCACACTCGGTGCCGTCACAACACTCTGGTAGATTGTTTCAAGAGTTCACAACTCTCACTCCGAAAAGTTTGCCCTCACAGTTTTCTGGACTTGCGGCTTCTTCAATCTTGAGCTGTGACCCCTTGTGGGGCGAGCGTCCGCCAGCTCCAAGTAAGGACACTCAACTGAGTAGTGCCCCTTGAGATGTTTATACACCTCAATTAGGTCACCCCTTGCCCGTCTGTAGTATAAGCTAGGCAAGTTCAGGCGCTCCAATCTCTCAGGGTAGCTGAGGTGCCGAGGGGCAGGCACCAGTCTGGTGGCCCTCCTTTGCACATTTTCAACCAATTGACAGTCCCTAGCATACCTCGGGAACCAGACGGGGTGACAGTACAGTACTCCAGATGGAGAAGCACTTCACTCTTGAAGATCGTTACGATGGACGGACCGTCTAGATATCTGAACGACCTTCTTATAAGACCCAATAATTTATTTGCCTGAATTACCTTCTTCTCGCAATGGCCGGAGAACTTCAGCTCATTGTCAACATACAGATTGGCAGATTAATTCAGGGCAGGATGCAAATGCATTACAGGAGGATCTAAATAAACTGCAGGGATGGTCTGAAAAATGGGAAATGAAATTCAACACCAGCAAGTGCAGCGTACTTAATATTGGAAGAACAAATACTGTCAATGTATACAGCTTTAACAACATCAACCTAGAGAAGTCGACTTGTGAAAGAGACCTAGGGGTACTTGTAAGCCCGGACCTACGGCCTAGAAAACAGTGCGTTAATGTTCGAAATAAGGCAAACAGAGTATTGGGTTTTATATCTAGAAGTGTAAGTAATAAGAGTGCAGAGGTCTTATTGCAACTATATCTTGCGCTAGTCAGGCAGCACCTCGATTATGCGGTTCAGTTCTGGCGCCCTTATTATAGAATGGATATCAATTCACTAGAGTCGGTGCAGCGAAGAATGACGAAAATGATTCCGGGACTTAGAAACCTTCCATATCAGGATAGGTTAAAGAAACTAAACTTGCATTCCCTAGAAAGACGAAGAGTGCGAGGAGATATGATAGAAGTATTTAAGTGGGTGAAAGGAATCAATAAAGGAGATATGGATAAAGTTCTTATAATATCCGAGCAGGATAGGACTCGGAACAATGGATTCAAGTTGGATAAGTTTGGGTTTTGGAGGGAGATAGGAACTGGTTTACAAATAGGGTGGTGGACGAGTGGAACAAGCTTAGCAACCTTGTAGTAAGTGCTGGAAAGTTTCAAAGGGAGGCTGGATAGATTCATGGATGATAGAGAGTGGTAGTAACTCTCGACAGGAGCTGCCATGCACAGGCCAACCGGCCTATTGCAGACTCCTTATTTTCGTATGTTCTTATGTACACACCTAGGTCCTAGTGCAGTTTCTTCATCCCGTTGGGACATACGATACGCCTCCTTACCGTTGGTACGCCCCAGGTGCATCCTCTTACACTTCGTGATCAGTGACTAAGAGGATAAAAGTAAAGTAAAAGAAGACTCACTGGTTGAAACATTTATATCAGTATCATTCACTGGATGAAGCAGCAATTAGATTCCGCTGGATGAAATAGTTATATTAATAAACCTTGCTGGATGAAGTAGCTTACACATTAATAAAATTCCGATGGATGAAACAGTTAGCATTATAGGACTCGCTGGATGAAACAGTTAGCATTATAGGACTCGCTGGATGAAGCAGTAGTAATAATAATCTCGCTGAATGCAGCAGCTGTAGTAGTAGACTCACCCTGGATGCAGCAGCTGTAGAGCCTGTAGTTTTAGACTCACGCTGGATACAGCAACTGTAGTAGTAACTAAGTAAGAATCACCCTGAATGCAGCAGCTGTATTAGTAAGACTCACCCTGGATGCAGCAACTGTAGTAGTAAGAATCACCCTGAATGCAGCAGCTGTATTAGTAAGACTCACCCTGGATGCAGCAACTGTAGTAGTAAGAATCACCCTGAATGCAGCAGCTGTATTAGTAAGACTCACCCTGGATGCAGCAACTGTAGTAGTAGACTCACCCTGGATGCAGCAGCTGTAGAGCCTGTAGTAGTAACTAAGTAAGAATCACCCTGAATGCAGCAGCTGTATTAGTAAGACTCACCTGGATGCAGCAGCCTAAGACTCACCCTGATGCAGCAGCTGTATTAGTAAGACTCACCCCTGGATAGCTGTATTAGTAAGACTCACCCTGGATGCAGCAGCTGTATTAGTAAGACTCACCCTGGATGCAGCAGCTGTATTAGTAAGACTCACCCTGGATGCAGCAGCTGTATTAGTAAGACTCACCCTGGATGCAGCAGCTGTATTAGTAAGACTCACCCTGGATGCAGCAGCTGTAGTAACTGGCAGCAGCGGCACCCAGTGAGCCTCCCGCCCAACAGATGGCTCTCGCTGCTCGCTCTCAAAAAGAAAACAAAAATGGCGACGCTGAGCTCCCTCCAAGACAGACTCCAGGGGCTGGGAACGAGACTCCAGGCCGAGAATGAGGCTCAGTCCCGGGACAGAATGAACACCAACCTCAATCTGGAATTTACGAGAGAGAGGCCCGGCTCAGAGAGAAGACCCAGACCCGGTAAGTGGCCCAAAATGACTTGTTTTGACGGGTGCTTCTCCTGGCAGAGGAAGGTCGAGTTCATATATACGTATTATTTGGGTCGTATCTCCGGTATTTATTCTATTAGAGGTACTGAGGGACCAGAGTTTTAGTACTTCTGTCACAGGTTCATACATAAGAACGGAATGTGGACTATCGTTCAGAAAATTAGTGTGAAATAGAGAGGAGGAGGAAGTGTTGAGCAATGATGGTGATTAGACTGTCAACACTTGTGTTTGGGGATAGTCACATGACTCCCTTCCCGAGATGTTTAGCTCGAGGAACAGGTATGTAGGGCTAGACTGAGAGGGCCAGGTATGTAGGACTAGGCTAGGTTGGGAAGGTCAGGTATATAGGATAAGGTTGGGAGGGCCAGGTATGAAGGGTTAGGTGAAGGTGTGTTTGGTTATGATGGGAGGGCCAGGTTTGTAAGGATGGGTTAGGAGGACAGGTGTGTAAGGATGGGTTAGGACAGGTGTGTAAGGCTAGGCTGGGAGTGCCAGGTGTGTAAGGCTAGGCTAGGCTGGGTTGGCCAGGTTCTCTTACCAGGTAGGGCCACCACCTGTGGTAAAGGTGTAGAAGAGGGTGACCACCAGAAAGAATTGTCCGAATTGGTTGAAATATTTTCTACACACTAATATCATGATATTAAGCACAAAAATGGAAACGACAATTATGTTAGGTCAGGTTCTATTAGGTTCTATGCATTATCGTTTTCATTTAATCCTAAACAAACAATTTACCTTAATATTGGGCTTCCAAAATAAGCAAAAGAACCTAGATCACGAACGAAAAAATTCTAAAATAAGAATAATTACAACCAACGCATAGTCGCCATATGTACATGAGACGCTGTAAACACGTGATGTACCACCGTCCCTCCCTTTGGGGGAACTGTATAAGTGCGAGCAGACACAGTTAATAGAGAATTGTGACAAATGTTAACAGTATTGAAAACCATTAAAAGAGAATGGAATCAGTCTAAAAGATCCGGTATAAGTATGACATAATTACATCATTTATTGCTTATATATAGATGATATGAATGAAGAGAGAATGCATTTAATAAGAATAGACCGGTATTAACATAATCTAAAGTTAATAAAGATGCGTATTTATTTTATTAAAAGGATCAGGAGTAATGGAACAAAATTTATACAGGTTGACAACAACGCGCAATGGCGCAGGCAGGGAAATTGTGAAGCGGGACTGATTACTGGTAAGAAAATGTTTTTTGGCATAGAACTGCACCTAGAGACATATTTTTAATGCCACAACATCAGTGTTCGCCGTGTTTTTACCCCACAATTTCCCTCATCCTTCATGCCCGGCCCACTAACAAGGAATTTAAGATCGTATGATAGAGTAAATAAAAAAATTAAGAAAATAAAAATACTTAATATCATAATAGAAAGTTGTCGCTTCTTTTAATAAACTTAAAATCATCAAAACAATAAGTATAGCAAAAATCAATAAAATCAACAAGCACCTTCTGGTGGTCACCCTCTTCCACACCATTACCACACCTGTCTACAGCATCTGCCACTGCAAACAGGTAGAAAGGTCTAAGTCAAGTCTTAGGGTACTCCAGCCAGATGGTCAGGCAACAACAAGAAACAGTATAGATTAATAAAGGCATGGCTGGTTAACTTGTACCCACATGTAAGGCTAGGCTGGGAGGGCCAGGTGTGAAGGGCAAGGGTGGTAAGGACAAATATATGAGACCAGATGTGTAATGTTTTGATTGAAAGAGTCAGGTGTGTGTGGGACTAGACTGAGAGGACCAGGTGTGTTTTGATATACCGGGTACTAGAAGGGTCAGGTGAATAGGGCTATATAAGGAGGGCACTTACCTGCCATGTAGATGATTCCCAAGTAAATGTTTCTCGCATGGATGATTTAACCTAACCTAACCTGGAACAATAACTTGTTTGAAGGAGTATATAACTTTGGGAAAGGTTTCTGTAGAAGAAAACTTTTCATACTTCTTGAACAGTGATTCTTAGCTTGGGGTCCATCGACTCCCAGTGGGTACATGAAGTGTCATGTGATATATTTCGAGGAGCCAAATGTATGTTGGCTGTACAGTATACATAATATGCCATAAGTACCATTTTTTATGCATATTGGTTATTAAAAAATGAAAATAAAAATGACACAGTCACCATTTATAGGGGGTAATATCAACCAAAGATGCACTGACCCCACCCTAGGTCTCGTACTGGCAATTTTACCTGGCAATACTTGGTAAAGTAAGGTTGTCTGTAAAGGCGAGTTTGATCGGTGGATCTATTTTCTGCTGTATCACTGTCAGGATAAATATTAATCAAACCATTGGTCACATTTTTATAATAATAAACTATTCATTGTTATTTAAGATCATGAACAGTTTCCAAATCTTCATATATTTGCTTAAATAACGAAGAAAATTTAATGTGAGAATCTTGTGGCAGCTGTGGTTGGAGTTGAGTTGCCCATTCATTATTGAGTTGCCCATAATTTTCTTCAATATTTAAAATAATGGTGAAGAGCTTATTAGTATAAAAATGCTACCTTTGGTTTGTTTAATATTTGAGGGCCTTAGAATAACATGGCCACAAGTGCCATTTTTTAAAAAAGTGAGAAACAAGCCCTTAAAGTTTTTCATTTTAACTCCACAACCAATGAAGATATCGAGGTGGGGTTTGTTTTATTTTGAAGATATTTGTTGTACAGTACAAGTTTTGTGTATGAGTGTCATGCATCGCTGTCCATGGGCCCCAGACGTGCGCCCATTGGCCGAAGTGGATCTACTCACTGTGTCATCGGCTCAACTGGGAGGTGTGGCGGGTCACGCACGCCTGTCATTGGCTGCTCTGTGAGTTAAAGGGATGCTGTGGGGTGAGACTTGTGGCCTTGTGTGATGAATGCGCGTTGATCACGGCCCTTTTAGGTACACAAACCAATGCATTTCAGTGCTATTTCCGACCATGTGAGAGTAACACAAGGCTTCAAATCCAAGCTCCACATGACAGAACTCAACTTGGAGAATATGTTGGTACCAATAACGCCATTTCCCCCGTGGTGGCACTTGCAGCCTTACTTTACCAAGTATTGCCAGGTAAAATTGCCAGTACGAGACCTAGGGTGGGGTCAGTGCATCTTTGGTTGACTGTATGTGAAGCTTTATACTGAGACCAAAGAATACGCTGACTAGAAAAGGTTCAAAACCACTGCTTTAGGATATTCAACTTTCTGAGTTTTGTTTTGCATTCGTTTTTATTAAGAGTAAGTACAGTCCGTGCACCTGAGGACACCACGCTTACACGTCTTCTGTTGAAAATAAGGTACAATAATAAATTAACACCTTAATCTACCTAACTCAATCTAAAATATGCACTTCCATCTTTGGATAGGTAGGTTGGGTTTGGTAGATTTGGTTGGTTTATCTTATCTATGATAAATCATCTGTCACTGGGAAGTGTTCATGGATATGAAATGCTATTCTGGGCAGAATCGCCAAACTAATAATACAGTACGTACTAATATTGCTAATCCTTTTTATGTTTATATATCATTAATACAGTATCTAAGAAAGACTTTTTAATCGCTTATACAAAAATGTGTTGGAAGTTGTCGTTTTTTCGTGTGTATGGAGAAACGTTTGCCTTTTGGCGCTCACATCACAATAAGCTAGCACGTCGATGTAGATTTATGTTCAGTTGGTGTTTCAGACTACTGTTCAGTATAGCATTACCCCCTGATGTAACCTAACCTAACCTAATATGGGTCTTATTAGTTCGGTGGACTATTAACTTTGCAAATTGAAATACTGCTCTGATTGTTGTAGTTTTATATTTATATACATACACACTGTGGATGTACAGTATTTCTTTGGAGAAATCATTACAAATTACTGAAAATGACAATTAAATATTTTTTAATGATTTAACAAAAAAAAAAAAAAACATACTCCAAAACAAATGTCAATTTGAATAGGTTTAGTCAGGTTAGAGAGTTTTGATCCTTCTAACTAGATACTCTGCAAGTTGAAAATTAAATATTAAAGGAACTTTAATTGATATTGCCTCATACAGTAGTTTGATGGGCATAACTTTTACATTAATTTACTGTTTTCTCAGGGCATTTTTTTATTTTTATTTTTTTAAGGTTGCAAAAAGTGTACCACCTCTTCTTGGGACTGAAGTTTTTCTAAAGCCATTGTATTTACAGGTATCCCTTACTTAATGAATGAGTTAGGTTCCTTGAAAATCACTCGTTAGGTGAATTTTTTTTCTCAAATAACAGAACAACTGGGAAAAATAGTATTCAGTACTGTACAGTACAATTTCCCAATGACCAGAAAACCCCAATATTATACTGTACCCCAAAAACATGAAATTGGTTCATGAACAACAACAAAAAACAACACGACTAATGAAAAATAACACCCAACTACTGTACTGTACTGTAATTTACAACCTATCACATTAAAAAAATTAAAAATAATAATAAATATATTACTGTGGTACAGTTGAATAAATGTGTTCCTGCAGTAACCTGTCTTCCCCAAACGGCTGACCTATATTACTTATAGCAAACCCATCCACCAGTCACATCCGTCGTGACATGACCAATACCCATTCATTCATAAATAGTAATACTACTTCTGCAACAGTGCTGTTTAGGTACGGGTTACCACAAAAGGCGTAGAAACACATTTCCGCAACTGTACATTATCTTAAGGGAAAGCAGTCAGGGCTCACCACAAAGGATGAGGTGGGGTGGGTTGAGTAAGGGCCTTAATCAGTGAGATGGGGAGGGCTGTCCACCTTATTACTGCTGTCACTGCTGTCTGCTAAGTCTGAGTCGCACCTGAGGTGAAAGGAGTGGAGGAAAACCTTCACCACGTACATGGCTACCCCAGGTGACTCCCAGTGGCACATGATTTGAAATTTTGCTGGGACCAATACTGTATTCGATAATGAGGGTAGCTTTCATAAAATTTGAAATACCCCTGTAGGTGTTAAA